AATCGCATTCTGAAATGAGACCCTACCTTACCGTGATTCAATAAAATTTCATAGAATTTAACAAAGTTCATGTTCAATGTAAAAAATCAATACTGTAATAAGTCCACACATATTATTTTCATTAATATTTTTTCGACAAAGGACTCAAAATAGTGCGACGAATGTTTGATAAACGCTATTGTATCACAGCTTTTACTGACAGAACTTTTATACTAGCCAACGTCTCAGCGATTATAATTATTCATCAGTAGGTTAATCCAAACTGTTTAAAGACAACAAATTGATGAGTAAAGTAAACAACTAATTGTTAGTATTAAAGAGAAAGGGGGATAAAAACCATGTAAATATACTTTTCCGCCGACCCGCGAAATTGCAGCACTAATTTTTGTGTTTGAAAATGATACCTGAACACATTTTTAGGGCCTTCTGTAGTAAATCTTTCACACAATATTTCAATTTTGGTTGGTAAATATAATTCCCTCGCATCTCTTCGTAATCAACCATGGTGTAAAGGCAATGTTTAAAATCATGTGTATGGAAACATTGTAATTCTTCAAGCATGCTGAACTCGTTACTCTAGGGATACCAACGCCCCTAGTCGAAACTGCTTAGACAAAAACACCTCAGCAAACAAAAACCCTTAATGACTATGTCTTGCAAATGAAACGAAAACATGCAATCGCAAAGTATTTTGGCGTTCCGAATCCTCACAAAAGCAAAACACAGACTTCGGGAGTAATTGGTGGGTGGTTGATCACCTGCAGCCTAGTCGCATAACGAGACTGGAACATGGAAATCAAACAAGGGGTTGTGTGGCTGGGTCTCCACGCATGGTGTACGATTCAACACCTTCATGTAGGAAGTAGCGATTATCACCGGGTCCACCGTCAAGTCCTCGGTGTTTGCTTTCTCCGGCCTCGGGCTTAGGATAGGCATTAGGCCAATCAGCCGCACAGGTGCAAATATTTGCATCGGCTGGATATTGTAGTCATTGACTTAGAAATCGAGTGGATTACATAGTTTCTTTATTGAGAAACATCCTTTTTTGTGCAGGATTATTTTGCAGAGGTTATCAACTGTGATGCACCTGTAAAGAAAACGCAATACAAAAGTTTATAGCAATGGTTTGGGGATTTGGACTGTGTGTCACTGAAAGCATGTGAAACATTTCTTGACCGGGGTCAATATGGCAAGGTAGTTAAAATAGCTCAAAGAAAGAGTGGTAGAATGGGGCGTTACAGAGACCTCTATTGAACTGAATAGCTCAGAGTAAAAATCAACAAACCCCATTCTATTTTTTTACACGGACGCGCTGGCACAATTTTAATCAAATTACTTGCTGGGCTTTCCACTCGTCACACGTACCTGTTCTCCCAGTTCCCACATTCTTCCTCCCAAAAGTAATTCAAAATCTCTCACTGAAATAAGCTCATACACACGTCGTAAACCACCCACTGGGCATTCCTCGTCACAGCGGGGCATAGAATGACAATGGCGACAGCAACCTCTTTGGCACGTCATGACGTTGCTAGCCTACTTGTGGACAACAGCTCCGCGGCCGAGGCACATGACTGCCATCAGGATAGGCGACGTCATGGCTGTTGTGAATTGAAACAATCAGCCCTACTAAAAAAGTACAGCACTGGCCAGCTATGCGGATATAGTGATCACCTACTAATCAGATAGTTATCAATTAGATTTGGAGAATTATCATAGCTTTGCGATGGTTCCCTAATCATTGTATCCTTAATCATTGATTTTTTTTAGTAAATTGTCGTTGCTACAGAACCAGCTAATCTGAGTAATGAACAAAGCTATCATCTCATTAATGCAACCTCATCCTTCACTCATCATGGCTCAAAAATACGCACTCTGGGGTGGCGGTTTGTATCTTTAATCATATCATTAAACACTTGGTCAAATCACGGACAAGTATAGTGGCAGTAAAAAAGCAATGCATATAGGTGGGGTTGTCTAATGAGGGATCACCAAACACTATATTTCACCAAAGAAACTTTCGTTCCAACTTGGTCTGAAATTGTACTACCATCTGAAAAACCAAACAATCGATGCAGATTCTGGCCAGCGCAAGCTCGTTGCATCATGAACATGGTTAACTGCATTTTATACCCACCGGGTAACTGTGCATCAAACGTCCAACTGGCCCTTGGTCTACATTCTACCCGTAGGAATTTGCAAGAACGTTTAATAGCACCACACATTGATGGAGTGAAGTACACGTAACCGATCGAGGAAGGATGAGTGGCTCGTTTACCGGTGCCATTACCATGTCAGACATGAGGATTTGCACTTCTGGTAATTGGCCCTCCTGCAGAACTCGTCCAACGGCGCCTCAGCTAACTGTTCTGCGACTCTTCAGTTTACCCTAACATTGCCTTGGTGGGAAACTCGCTTCGTACAATCGTAGACGTGCGATTAGGATCAACACGTGTCTCCCGACTCTATTGCTATAATCACTTACAATCAACTCCAGCTTATCGTTAGACGGTTATCTACAATTAGAATCGTTGCGCGGTTGGATGCTAGGGTATCAAAGTAGGCGTCTAGTATTGGTTGAATACCGTCAGTTTAACAGACCACAGAGATGTATGTGGTAATTGTTTATATATTCCTAGCCTATATTTATATTCTCAATTGCTTGCACACATAGTAAACATATATTCAAGCATTTTACAGACCAAATGATGCGTCATTATTTTGTGCAGAGCAAAGTTGAGGTGCAGCTAGAAGAATACGCTACCGACAACACAAAAATAAAACTACACAAACCCGCTGATGCATGAATACATTATCCTCACTTTAGCAGCGTAAACTATTATCAATCCAACAAAATTCAAGTCTTATTTACATTGTCCCCTACACAGGCCAAACTCCACAAAGAGTCACGGTACAAAGGGCGGCATCAATCAAAGCATAGCAAACATTTCGACAGCGTTACATAAACCTTCATAACACTGCAAGAAACCGATCCAAAATTATAGTATCGCAACCGATATGATCAAACGGTTTGGTGATCAGGTGGGCTGTGGCATTGTCCTGCACCTACAGCTCACAGATACCCGTGGCCGTGGAGAATCGCGGCCCTTATCCCATAACTTCCGCGGTCTCATCTCCTCCGACGTCCGTCGTCGCCGGGCGATTTCTCAGTTTTCTTCCGTCGTCGTGAGGATTTGGAGAAATTGATATGTTGCATAAGTGGATAAGTGTATCACTCGCTGCACGAAGGCATTGTGATGTCCGGCGAGGGCTTGACCATGTTAGTGTTAGATATATAGTTTTTTTTAGTACGAAGATATATCGTAATGTTAAAATAATCGTTTTGTTTGTTTAAGTGAAATCTCTTCTATTCTGCAATGGATGACAATAGTTGTGGAACTACTACTAGTTATCAAATAATTAATTAGCATTAGCAATAGCTTGTTTGCAATGTGTTTTACGACTATTTATTAAAATATAAAAAATAACCAAAGAATGCGCTTTAGCATTGTAGCAGAGATTGTAGCAGCTACCAGAAAACATTTACATAATTATACAGTAATGAACATGTTCGATGTTCCAGTCAGTAGCCGCCCCAGTGACACGAATGTAACTGTGACTCCCCAGTAACTGTTCCCCAAGTACCCTTCTGACCCGTCATGGGAAAAAGTAACAGCCGTTCTTACATCTCCATCTCGTACAACTGCGGTCGCGTGGTTGCTACTTGAGTAGGTTCCAATTTCAATGTAATTTGTATTGTATTTCCGGTCGTTAAATGCAATACTGTTTCCATCTCGTATATCTACACTGTTTTGAGCAAAGTTTATCAATTTCCTTTCGATGACTTATACTGTATTTATCAACTGATTTACTGTACCAACATTCTACTTGAGGTGGAATCAATATTTCAACTTGACCCTCACTTTTACAATCTCCGGTTGATATACTTTCTCCGATCTTGTTAATGGACATCACATTCTCCACACTTAATACAATCCCGCGGGCGTTCACACACGGCTATCACGGAGGCCGTGGTTTGGTTGCCGCGGTTGCCGAATGCCGGGACGGTCACGTTTTGGCGGGTGTCTACCTCTCCGCCCTCCACCACCGCCATCGCTACTCTGAATTTCTCCATTACTGAACTAAGAACGTTTCAACTCACTTTGACCAGATGTTACCCTATACAGTATTATATGTGTTTTCCAAGTTTTTTGTTAGATTCCCTCTATCGGACGATTCATTTGCTAATTCAAAAATACCTATACAGAGAGAGTCTTGAGTACCATATGAGTAGGCCTATAACTAACATGATTACAAACTGATAGCTTTAAAAATGGACAATGGCATTCACAACTATTGTCGACTGATATTCACTATACACATTAGGAGAGAAACCCTTGTGTAAACAAATACAATCATCACGGGCATTTTGTTGGTTTGGTTCAACCTATCCTGGTAATTATTTTGGTTGTTCACTGCAAATAAACTAGGTTCTACATTTCCCTGGAATTTCACATCAAATTCTAACTACTGTTTTTGTGCATTTTCTATTCTTAAAATAGCACCCAACGACCACCAGCTACTGTCATTATATTATTACTGTATTAAATAGAAGAGTAAGCCACCAATATGACCAATATTATATACATTGCCTCTAAGTCTCAAATAAAAATTGTATTCTAATAAGATTAATACTTTAGGGACACCTAGGTAATGAAATGAAATGGGTACTGTATAGCTAAGTAGCTGATGGGATCAAATGTTTGCCCAACAATGAAAAAGTCGCAGATTTGATCTTGAGAGATATCAGTTGCTTTTTGAAGGTTCAAAACTGAGCCTTCGATTGTCAGCCAAATGGTCCTGCTGTGACTAAAGAAACAGCAGGTCTAGGTCAGTTACACAGGGCATCTCACTCTATTCTACTCTACCCTTCACTCATATCCTCGTTAAAATACACAGCATTGTGTTACTGTCTAAATGTAATGAGTGTGGTATTTGTTCAGGAGGGGATGGCTGGGGGCTGGCTGGGCGTATGGCTGACTCTGGGACTGTACCTAGTAGCAAGTGAGGCTCAATCCCAGTGTCCGTGGGGCCGAGAAGTCAACGAGCTCCAGTCCGCCTGTATCTGCGCCTACAACCTTGGCCAGCAGCTGTCCGTGCAGTGTGACATGGTGGACTGGACACAACTGCTTAAAGCGTTGGACAAATACGCCCGTGAAGACTCTCTGGACCTCCTCTATGTCAACAACAGTTCTGTCAAAGCCTTGGACGCAGCGGCCTTCAGTAACCTGAGACTTCACAACCTCCAACTATCGGGATGTCGCATCAAGACAATCAGTCCTGAAGCTTTCCAAGGACTCGAGATAACCTTGAAGAATCTTAACTTGCAAGACAACGAACTTGATGAAATCCCCATAGAGAGTTTGAGAGGGTTGAAAAACCTCACTTTATTAGACCTCTCACGTAACCGAATCACCAAAGTACCTGATGACGCTTTTATAACTCTGACTCGTCTGTCAACGCTGAAACTGTCAGATAACAATGTTACAATCTCTTCAGAGGCGTTCAAAGGCCTTGAAGAGTCACTAAAAAATCTCAATTTAAAGGGGACGAGGCAGAAAAGGATACCTGAAGCGGTCCGTGGTTTGAAAACCTTAGCTTTTCTAGATTTAGCTCAAAATGGACTAACAGAACTTCCAGGATCAGGAGGTTCAGAACTCCTTTCTGGGTTAGAATCGTTGACAGCACTCAACCTAGAGAGGAATGTGATCCAGAGGGTGACTGACGACACTTTCCTCGGAGTAGCTGACACTCTCAGCTCCCTCAGTCTGCTCAACAATCTACTGACAGAGTTTCCAGTGGGAGCCATCAACAGTCTTACTGAATTAAGGGTACGGTAAATTACATTCATGTTATGTTAAAATAGACATGTTTCAGTATACATCACAACAAAATACTAATTTATTTTAACAACAAGTATGATTTTATTTATTATAAAAAGTATGATTATACTTGTGGTGTTGAAGACTTACCAAATTAGAAAAAATTATAGATTTGCTTAAGAAGTCTTAATAGAGCAACAATTAAAAAAAGGTTGTTTAAAAAACAATGAGCGATTAGTAAATGAGATTATTGGCCAAAGCTAATGGTTGTAATTTTGAAGTCACTTCAAGGAGTTAGTTGGATAGATGTCACTGAAGAATGTGTATATTTATAATTATAAAGTAGGTCTACCAAGAATTTAGTGCAGAAATTTTCCATTTGATGTGTAAAAAAACACATCGTGTCGTGATGGAAAATGTCTCCATTTAACACTTAGATACTCACCATCACCAAAAATGAACTTAAAAAATGATAAAATTTACTATTAAGAATAAGGATTTAACTAACATTTCATCTCCGTAATTATTATCTATACTGTATAACCCTTGAATACTTGTAGGTTTTGGACATCGGGTTCAACCTGCTGACAGAGTTACCAGTGACTGCATTCTCAGGGACTCCCTCTCTCACTCTCCTAGCTCTGGATGGCAACCCTCTAGCGTCCATCCCTGGTGCAGCACTAGCTCACCTCAACACAACCCTGCGTGGCCTCAGGTACACCCCCATCGATTTACACCCCCAAAACTAAATCACAAACTAAAAAGCACTATAAAAACTTGTTCACATTGCAAATTCTCTTATTTTTAAAAGTACCAATTGTTTTCAATGCACAACTCATACTACCGTTTTATTGATGAGAAGTCTTTCAATAAACTGATATTTTGATCGATCAGTAAAAACTTAAATATGGATATATTTTATCAACGGATCATCTTGATTTTGACCCCTTAACATGACATTAAGAACGCACGATCTAAAATGTGTTTAACAAAATGAAAATAGTATTTCATTATAACTCATGTTCTTTACACAGTCTGGGAGGCCGTTTCCTCCACTGTGACTGTCGTCTGCGCTGGATAGCACAGTGGATCCGCAGCAACGATCTCCAAGTAACAAGTCGCGAGCGCAGCCCACAGTTCTGCGGGACTCCACCACGGTTCCACGACCGTAACTTCTACACAATCCTTCCTGAGGGTAAATACTTTCTTAGACTGAATCTGAATACGAAGTTGGTAAATGAAACTGAGTTATATTAGCACAGTTCTGCTGCAGTTACTGCGGCTATCTGTAATTTATTGGATCCCAAAAGTATGGTCTATTTTTTTAGTTTACTTAAAAAAAATCTTCCTAACTTTCCTAACTTCCTAACAAAATTCCTAACTTTTTTAGTTTACTTAAAAAAAATCCCTAATCCTATTGACTTATGATTATTATTGTTAACTTTGCAGAATTTTCACAAAAATTCTGTGTAACACATAATCTTACTAATTCACAAAATAATGTTGTTCCGAAACAATAATCCAGATATTTATTTCAGAGTTGACTTGTGGCAATGAAAACAGTCCAGTGGGAGTTGCAACTGTAGTGAACGCAGACTTAGATGAGGTATTGAACAACCCGTCGTTGATAGAAGAGGAGGAACCAGAGATCACAATTACAACGACAAAGCGAACAACAATCACTCCGATAACTACAAGACTGACAAAACCTACAACGACCACCACAACAACAACGTCAACAACAACGACCACAACAACACCATCGACAACATCGACGACCGCAATGACTGAAACAACACCTACCACAAGTAAGACTTTATATTGTATATGCAACTCTTGTGGGCAATCGAAAATAAAAAAAATCTTGCAATTCATATCCAGCTGTCCAGCTTCACTCATGCCACAAGAACAGAGCAATTCTAAAAAAACCAAAAACCATCAAAGAGCAATGACTACAGTATTTGACGCACTTTTATACTGAGACATTACAGATAAAATTTAAAAAGTAATTCCTCGTTTAAACCTCCTTTTAGCAAATTTAAAGTAGATATTTATCAATTTCCACACCTCAAAATTGATCAAAAATTTCAACCAGGTACAGATGGGTTACAAAACAGCCTCCTCTAATACAAGGTCGCAGTTTTGAAGTGTGGCAATGCCGTACCGACCGGCCTATTGCCATGGTGATAGCAGTAATAACAAACCCAAGCTTAAACAATCCGCAGACGTTCCATTATGAAGTTCAACAGTAGGCCGGGACTGCAGGGTTGCCACTTTAGTCTCGCCGCGGCCTTGTATTAAAGGAGGCTATGTCTACATACGATAGGTTGTTTATAATAAACTCATGACAGTCATTTACGAATAAGCATAGTAATGCATTTTTAAAGTATTAAAATACCATCACCACGATAAATATTACAAAAAACATGTATAATGCTACTATAGATGCACTCAAAGTAAACAGATTATTTGTAAAAGAGTTTTAACTTTTAAGAACAGCATGGGATTGGTTTCAAGAGAAATAAGGCTAGCTGGTGTAAAATATCTGTAAAATATATTTAAGGGAATGCTGTGGTTGAGGTTTCACTTCACAAAAAAGACACACTACTAATTAAAAATTTGTAAAATAAAAATATTATTTCCTAGACCAAAACTTTAACTTAATCAATATTTTTAAAGCCATGTCCACAACGACACCCCGACCTACAAGACCAGCACTAGTGACATCTACACGTCGCAGCGTACTGTCTCGTACAACAGTCCCGCCCTGGCCTCAGCAGCAACGTCCTCTGGTGCTGGGACATCCACGAGCAGTACAAGAGGTGAGTGAGTCACAGGAAGTAACTTATTGTAAAATAGGGTTGAAACAGTATGCCGCATGCAAATTAAATTAACGTTGCCCAGAATTAATGATGTGCATATGTGAGTTGTGGCCACCACGACGTCATTACCGATCGGTCATTATATGTGTGTTTGCGTATTGTGTGATGACTGTTTTATGTTAATGTTGAAGACAAAAAGCAATAGCAGATCACCTGATGATGTCCATACTTGGGAATAACGAATAGAAATTCTATCGAATAGCACTATTCATTAGTTTTTTTGGCTAACTTCTATTTTATTCGTTTGTTTTTAAATTAACTAACTAATAACTTCTATCAGTTACTTTTTACGGGACTAACTAATAACTTCTAACTAGTTAGAATTTTCAACTAACTTTCCCAATTATGCGGAAGCATCTCAAATACTGGTTATTTATTTTACATGATCAGTGAGGGTTGCGTGCCGCCGTGAGAGGTTAGTGCCCTTGTAGACAAACAACGCGGGGGGGTGGGGAAAGAGAAAGTCAAAGTCCAGTTGCTTTGGAATGCAGTGGGCCTGTGGAAGGGTAGTTACGGCCATTATCAACACCCCAAGCACTGATGGGTGGGAAGGGGAAATGTTTGTTTGGTGACTGTTTTATCATCTCAAGTGTCAAAACATTGTCTTAGTTGATGTTCATTATCTGACAAGTTTTATGTCATTTGTTTATGTTGTAGTAATGTAAATAAATGTGACAATGTTTGATTAAAACACAAGTACCAGGGGACCGATCTTGCTCGAGGTGTTTGATTTGTTCAAGAGGTAAAAAATAGAGCTTATAAGCCTACAAATATTTTCAGTCTTACTACGATTAATTAAGTAGTAAAGTCAATTCGTTTTTGTTAGACATCCACTTATCCTCAATTTCATCTACGAAACTTTTTAATTTGGACGATCAATCTATAAAATGTCCACAATAAGCTTCAATCAATATAAAACTCATGATACATAACATCTGTTATCTGACGACCGTTATTGCATTAAGTCACTGGGATCGTGGAACGTTGCAACTATAATTACGGGATGGTGTAGTAACGCATCAATTCGTGCGGTGCATCGTCGAAAAATACAAATCTCCTTGGCCTTTCCTTTAGATTTTTAGTTTAATGTCAGTGTATATTGTTTTGCAGTAAAACACTTAATGTTTTTGAAAAGTCGTAATTATCCCTTTGGTTAGTAAGACATTATACAATGCAAATGTATTTTACAAGCAATTTTCATGTGGGAAAATAAAACTCTTAGAACTTTCTACAACTTAGTTATATTTTACACTTTAAAAAACAGGACAACAAAACGAACCTTCTTTAAACATTAATTCAACTCAACACCCATTAGTCACCATGACAACCGAAATATCCAAAATCGTAAACATAAAGGACACTAGTCAGCTGATGCTAGTTCACAGCTACACGCCCCCGTGGTGTCAACACCACCACACGCCCTCGAGGTGCCGACACAACTTACACTTTCATTTTTAATAGCATTGAAATTGGAGGAAATCGTAGGAGCCATTTTTTAAATCATATCTTGCGCAATCTTTACTCATATTATAGTATATATTAGTAACCAAGATGTGACATTAAAAAATACTTTATAACAACTGCCCAGTGAACAACTAATTTCTACTAAAACTAACTTTATTTTCTATCAGTTAGTTTTTCAACTAACTAATAACTTCTATCAGTTACTTTTTAAACTAACTAACTTATAACTTCTATCAGTTACTTTTTACGGGACTAACTTATAACTTCTAACTAGTTAGAATTTTTGACTAACTTTCCCAACTATGAGATGTCACTGTGTTGACGAAACACATCGTAATCTACACTAAACTTGGAAAGGTAGAAGGTAACATTATTATTTATTCAGAAAAAAATAAAACATATTGGATTAAAGTTTTATTTTAATCTACCATACAGATGTTTTTTAAAATGTGGAAACACTATCCGATGAGAATGGTTTACTGGAAGGAAGAATGTAGTGTCTATGGTTAGAAATATGTTTTGGCTCATAGAGATTTAAGTAGGGAAAACATGTTTATATAATTTTAATTCAAAACTAAACTTCAATTCTATCTATATCATAATTCATTGTCATACTACCTTTGAATTTTCAAAATCGATTAATTTACCTGTATCTTATAATATTCACTCAAAGTTAACATTTATCACTTGCTTTATTATCTCAAGTTTTTGGAAAAAAATTTCCCATTAAAAAACTATTGCAAAACCTACTATTATCTTTTTGATTCTGTAGGTTTTGGTGCGATCGGCCCACCGACAAGACAACTCTGTGATCATACAATGGGACTCTGAGACAGCCAACATTCTCGGCTTCCGAGTCGTCTACAGGCTGTTTGGAGACCGCAGCTTCAAACAAGGCCCACCACTGGAGGCCAGCGAACGAGAGTTTAAAATCAAAAATGTTCCTTCGCAAGTAAGTGTGGTGGGATGCCTTAAAAACATTGAGATTTTTTTTAATTAGTAGCTTTAATCAAAACTCAGTAAATGAATACAGTAGAGAAGGGTAGTTTGTTAAAGCTGCTTCTCAGGGTTTACTTAGACCATAATCTAAAGAGCAGGATTTTACAGTTTATTTACAAGATGGGAAATATTATTCTTTTCTTGTACCTCATATGGACTACAAGAATTGTGAAATCCGAAGTAAATTAAACATTACGATAATTCTATGTTTTTATCTCAGAAAGAAAGAAGAGATGTTGAAGAGGGAGAAAAATGTAGGGTTATAAAACAGCTGGCCAAAAAATTGCAAATGCAGATTTTTCAAAGGAGTGATGAGTGACCTACTTTAGTTTGAATCTGAAGGGTTAGCCTAAAAACCCAAAGTTGCTACTACTGGCTTTGACTGTTTTAAAAGAGCGGATCTATGTCCTTGAATATTAGGGGTTTCAATCATTGATCTTGGAGAAGGTACAGTTGTTTTTGTGTTTTTCTTTGACACACCCGGGTGAGTCATTTTTATAATCATTTAGCCCATTAAGAAGTTACCGAGTGAGCCAGTATGGACTGTGGTTTAACATTCTTGTCTTGTTTGATCACATTGACATTACTGATTTGTCCCTGTAACAGGAGTGTATCGTGGTGTGTGTGATCTCGCTGGAGGAGATCAACGTGACGCCGGACACAGTCCCGTACAGTCAGTGTCGCGAGGTGCGTACAGTCGCCTCCCCCACCAGTCACATGGACAAGATCACCATCGCTGCCAGTGCTGCCATATGCGGCACAGTGGTGGTAGCCGTCATCATCTTTGTAGCTGCCAGCAGACGCAGGTTTGTCATGTTAGGTGGAGTACTTTGTAGATGTTTACAAAATTATTACTTGCCAGACTATTTGAATGACAAACTCGTCTGTTTATAATTTTTGTTAGGAGATACTAGTTCCTTCAGCCGTGCTTCCCAATGCTATGATGAGGTAGAGGATAATATTGTGATTTTTAAAATGTAGCCTTCTGTAGAAAACACTTTTAAACTTATTCTTTATAAATTTACCATAAACAGTCGTTTGAACAACACATAACTTTTCACACAACAGTAGAACCTTGCTAATTTGAACCTCCATAATTTGAAAACCTCTATAATTAGTAATGTTTGTCTGTTCCTCTCAGAAAACCTCTAAAATTCAAAAAAATGTTGTACTGATAATTTTAAGGGATTTTTATGCTTAATTCCCTCTACAATTCAAATGTTGTTGCCGTAATTCAAACTTTTACCTCCAAAACTTGAAGTCAACCTCTACAACTCGAACTGCATTATGGTAAGCCTTTGTAATTCGAAATCAGGACAAAAATACGCCTGTTGAAAGATGAACTGACGCTCTTATTGATGTTCCCATGATGTGTTCATTAGTCTCCATTCTCTCAAACTCTCTACACTTAAAACTGGGACCTTCAAGTGAATCAATTAAAGAAAAGCTATCCTTTGTGTTCACAGGTCTCGCAAGCTACACACTTTGGCTGGGGGCTCCAAGGCGGGTCTCCCTGTGCCGGGGCTGCCCGTGGCGTGTTGCCCCGCCTCTAGCCCCGGACCTCTCTCCTCCCTCGCCACTCTCAGTGCCTTCACCTCACACAAGGACTGGGACCAGGTGTCTGTATACAGCAATCGTAGCCTCTCACGTCCCAGAATGTATCATATGGAGCGCCAAGGTCCCACTATCTTCTATTAATCATATTACTAATGTACGTTTAAGTGGTGCCACTAACAGGACATTACTTCTTTTACTATCCTTTACAGTAGATGTAGATATATTTTAAAACATAAATACTTGTTTGATGTTATTTGTTAAATTTGCAACACATCTTTGCTGTAGTCAGAGGATTGTAATTAGTATGTTTCATGGGGTGGGCTTGTGGACAAAAAATGCTTAATAGAAATAATTTTAGAAAAAATTAGATTACAAACAATTTTATTGTGGGATTACTAACCAAACAAAAACATTTTATTTGACACATTGGTCAAGGAATAACAACTCTATACTGGCTAGGTGAATAGTGAAACACTATTATTGGACTGACTCCATGTTACTTTCCAAAAATATTTACCTCTAACAAAATATCGATCCTGATTGTTAGTATTCAGTAATATTAGTAAGACGAGGCATCTACCTTTTATCCGATGGATTTAATTTCACAAATATTTATTAAATTAATTTCCCATTAAGACTTAGATGTTTAAAAACTAAAAAAAGGATATTTATCCTTGTTCAATACAAAAAAAAATTTTACATGTATAAATCTGATATAAACAAATTTGATTCTTTTCAACACTTTCATAGTTAATGACATCACCAACACCGAAAACTGTTAAGATTTTTTACAGTTGAAAATATGACCTTTCCCATGAGAATAATACAGGGTGTTTTTAAAAGAATGCCGGGATTTTAAATGGTAATTGCTTGGATACTATTCAAGGTAACTAAACAATTTGTACGTCAAATTGAAACTGAAACAACTGTTTTGTTTCCCGTGTAGCAAGGGAGGAAACTTTGACGTTGGCATGCGTAAAACAGGTGCGGGGTGATAGGCCGCTATTGTGACTCATACACCAGACGCCAGACGTCAGTCGCCAGTACGACGTTTACGGCGCACAGAAGTCACAGATTGTAATCTGTAGTTCGCAGAGTTTATATCCATTGCTAAATTAAACTAAATTTAAATCTACTTGATGATCAAGAAACTTGAAGCTGGTTTAATGATTTCCGTGGCACCGAAGTGTTTTGAAAAGACGTTCACCTGCCAGGCTAAAAACAAGCAATGACAATTCTGCATCAGAAGCCCGAAAAAACCAATGGCCCGACGAAGTCTTCAGTTTAAAAAACCTAAATTGGTCACATTATGATGTTATCTATAAAAGATAGAGTCTTTGTGCCGAAAAGATTCAGTTAAGACATCAGATAAACCCGCCGATCGCCCTAAGCGTACAAACTTTGCCAGTTTTACGCTCATATAAGATTGAGGAAAATCTAAATTTTATTAAATCATTCAGAATTGTATGAAAGAATGGGAAACAAACTTTCTTCTTTTCCCTTCAATTTGACGTTTAAATCGTTTAATTATCTTGAATAGTCAACGACCGTTTGAAATCCCGGCATTCTTCTAAAAACACCCTGTATAAGTTGAATGTTTGTATGGATATGATTGTTGTTTACATATTTTTGAAAATATATGTGTAAAATCTAATCAAAAACTGTTTTAATATTAAATTTTTTTAGATGCTAGTCATTTGAGACCTGCAAAAGTCAATCGCAACACGGCAAACTGTGGATATAACAAAACCTACATTCTAGCTCATAACGCTGTTAACTCTATTGACAAGCGGAGGTACAGTATTCCCTTTTTCTCAAACTGTCTAGATTTCGTAACTTGCCTCATTGGTTGTTACTAAGATACCATTCCACGCATCCTATATCCGCTGTTCCACTATTGACTAAGAAAGATTTTATGGTTCTAGGCTCACTAACAACGCCATGTATGGGTGACGAGATGAGATTCACAGGCAAACCGACCAAGACTCGCTCCGTTGCCGACGGCCAATCCCAACACAGTTTCTCCAACCACTCTGGCCGTTACAACAACGCCTTCTCCGCCGGACTAGTCAGTTCTCGTCCAGGTGAGTTTAGGTTTACATCAGGTGTGATCTACATCTCTTTTCATTTCTGCCAGTATATACAGGGTGTTGAAAATGTCTGGAACCAACATTATATCTGGTGAGTGGTTAAAGAAAAACAACTGATATTTTGTGTACGGATATACTATGGTTTTACCTATCTTTTGGTGCCTTATGAAAATGTTTCCTACTTATAGGGAACGTCCTGTGGAGGATGCAGTAAAAAGTTTTAATGGAAGGCTATGGTAAATGATACATCATTTTAAAGGCCATTTTTTTCTGAGTAAGGAGCCACAAGTTTCATCTCAAAAGGACCACCCTAGCAAAAATGGCGACTGTTTGAAATTTAAAAAACCACTTATAGGGAACGGAATTTTTAAATTTCAAACAGTCGCCATTTTTGCTAGGGTGGTCCTTTTGAGATGAAACTTGTGGCTCCTTACTCAGAAAAAATGGCCTTTAAAATGATGTATCATTTATCATAGGCTTCCATTAAAACTTTTTACTGCATCCTCCACAGAACGTTCCCTATAAGTGGTTTTTTAAATTTCAAACAGTCGCCATTTTTGCTAGGGTGGTCCTTTTGAGATGAAACTTGTGGCTCCTTACTCAGAAAAAAATGGCCTTTAAAATGATGTATCATTTATCATAGGCTTCCATTAAAACTTTTTACTGCATCCTCCACAGAACGTTCCCTATAAGTGGTTTTTTAAATTTCAAACAGTCGCCATTTTTGCTAGGGTGGTCCTTTTGAGATGAAACTTGTGGCTCCTTACTCAGAAAAAAATGGCCTTTAAAATGATGTATCATTTATCATAGCCTTCCATTAAAACTTTTTACTGCATCCTCCACAGGACGTTCCCTATAAGTAGGAAAGATTTTCATAAGGCACCAAAAGATAGGTAAAACCATAGTATATCCGTACACAAAATATCAGTTGTTTTTCTTTAACCACTCACCAGATATAATGTTGGTTCCAGACATTTTCAACACCCTGTATAATGCTTTTAAATAAGATTTTCTGAAGTTAGTTTATCTGAATGAAAGTCACTGGCATTAGGTTTATTCATATATTGGTTCCAAAACTAATCTCAAAATTATTCCTAATAATTTAATATTTTAATATTTCTAAGATTGAACCTCCAACCCTGGGATTGGAATATTGATATAATGAGAATATAACATGCTTTTTAAACCAACTACTTCCAACATTGAACCAATTTAACTGCTACACTGCAGCAAATTCAGTTATTCAGTAGATTCAGTAGATAAAAGAGCATTTCTAGCATATTCTGCTATTCCGTCAGTACATCACAGAGTACTTCACTTAGTTTCAATACCTCTCGTATTTACAGAGCTGCGGCAGTCCCATCAGTCGCTGGCCGTGTCCGAGCGCATGTCCCGCGTGAGCTACCCGGGGACACACACTCACACGCACACACATGCCCGGCCCCGCCAGCGACCCCGCAGTAGTAGCAGGGACCACTCTGCCCCCACCCGGCCCCACAGTCGCTACAGCACCACGGGGTCTCTGACCTACGGCGACGTGGCCGACAACTGGACGGACCACGACATGGACATCTACATGGCTCGCAACCCCACGACGCGGGGAGGGTTGGTGCCACTGTAGCGGTGCGACCACTGCAGGCCGCCGCTGTGTCGTGTCCACCAGCGATACGCACGTAATTACCAGCCGTTCTACTAATCTGTCAGTCAATTGAGTTTGTGGAATACCTATTCTGATTTCCAATAGAGTTTTTGTGGCAATTAGAAAGTACTTATTTTAGTTTGTTGCTGCAAAACTTGACCTTCACATCCAATTTTTATTAAAACATAATTAATTATCGGTACTTTGAAAACTGTTAATTTTTACTTAAGAAACAACTAGCCCTTAAAATCTTAACCCTGCAAGCGCAATAGAAACATTGTTATAGTAGTACTAGATAAATCCCACGTAGTTGAATTTCTCCTATTTATATTCTTCTTGCATCATTAAGGTTATGAATTCAATTCTGATAATAGTTGAAATCTATTGCACCTGAAACCATTAATCCGAAACTAACAAGCCTCTCCTGTGAGTGTTAATGAGGACATGTAAGCTGATATTCAGCAACTTAATTTAAACTATGCTAGTTAGCTGTAGACGTCAAATCACTAAGTTCTGTTGCTGGTAATTGCGTTTTTGTTGTGGACACACCAAAGTCAAAAGACTTCGCGGCCTGCAATCTTGTGGCGAATGGGAAATTATGAAGGGACACAAGTGAGCACGTCGGTTTGACTGGTAATAAATTATTTACTGTAAATATGCAGTGTTATAAAAGTGAAATTTAGTGCAATCTATGTGACCGGTGGAAAACACCATCTAAAGGCCAAATTGTAAATAAAGCTTGCTACCTACCAGTAATGGTAAACAATTTAATTGTAAGCATAGTTATAAGATATGTTTTGAAAATCAAAACATGGCTACCTACTCTAGACTGGTTCTAGAGTAGGACTTAAACTAGCTTGCAAAACTACAAGACTTATTAAACAAATTTACAATCAGAAGTTTTAGAAAACTGTAAATCGTCTCTTTAGAAGAGGTTAATTATTTATTTGATCTAGAATCAGATTGTTTCAAAACAAGAGTAGTCCGAGTGAAAAGGGTCTGATAAGAATTGAGACAAATCTGAGTATCTCTTAGACAACAAACAGCTGTAAAATTTTCTATCGGACCATTTTCATGTGGACTACCTTGGCTTTAAATGTATTCAAAGCATTAAAAAAATTGTTACCCATGCATGGCTCATCAAACTACCATATCTTTCATCAAATTACATTTTTAATACAAATAAAACTCATGTCATGAAAATGTTTAAAACTCACACACCTAAATATTAACAAAGGATTTGTAAGTTATAAATTGAAAAATATTTTTAAGGCATGAGTTTTATCCAGATCTATCTATTAATGTTAAGAGTGAAGCCAAAGTATTGTGTTTTGATGATATTAATGACCAATTACACGAAATAGTTCTTTGTAGCACAGTTTATGTTTATATTTGTAATAATTCTAGGGTAAGCATATAATGGAAGTTGATTGTGAATAATTATACGACGAAAAGGTGATGTACTTAATGTAAATTTCATCAAATTAAATGTTCTTGTATATAAACATTTTATGTGTGTTATTGTTACCTTGAAAAAACATTCATTTGAACAGATAGAATAAATTGATTTTTTCACAATTTCACCCTAACAATTCTAATACCAGATAATTGCATAGCTGTCCTTTTTGGTCACACGTAGAAATTTTCACTAACCTGCAAAAAGTGATTCGCATGGATTGTGATTTTTCTAACTTTAACACTGATGTGGGAACAGTTTTTTCTACCTTCACATCCTAGGCTCCTGCCCAGACCTGTTTTACACCTTATTTCAGACCACAACTAGTGTTTTGCGGCATTATCACTTAAATAATAAAACCCATGGTTGATTACCAGGATTTGACTCTGGTATCTCGGGAACCAAAGTAGCATACGGTACGGGACCGTAGGAGAAAATGTTTGTCCAATGTGTGCTTAATCTTGGCTAAGGGAACAGATTATCTTATTTAGGCAACTCACTCATCTTCCATCTATATTTGGGTTAAACTTTTTTATCTATCTGTTAATTATTTTTTAGGTTATGTCTTTTATCTATATAATTAGATACGCCAACACAAAATTTGTCAGTTGAACTCCTCCGCCATTTCTTAACCGATTTTATCCATCGACGTCTCATTGGAAAGAGTGTGTCGCAATGCATTTTAGAAAAAGTCCCTTGGGCTCTGCCCCAGTGGCTTTTAAGGTTCCCATGTTATCCCTCTGAAGAACATAATTTGTTTAAATTTTGATCAGCTGTGTAATTTAATTGATGTTATTTATTTTTCAATTCAACAAAACGCATTAGGTACATTTACTGATTTTGTTGAAATTAAATATTTACTATTTTAATTTACATTCGTACATATTGCAATTTAAAAATTCGAGAAAGCCTGGGCAATTCGATATAGTTTACCAAATAAGAAAAATAAATTGACAGGGTACTATATTTCTTGAGCGAATTGAAAGAACCGATTTGTTAACCATGGAAACATAGGAAAGTCATAGAACGCCACCAAGTAGTAGAAATGGATATTTTTAAAAAACATTTACTATCGTTATCATCCTATATAATGAAGAACACCTACAACAAGAAGATCCCCACAAACAATGAACAAGGATTTTAGCCGAAGTGCTACTATTTTGTAGGAAACGCGGACTTAACTTTATGATGATTGGCAAAGGAAAACCCTCTATGGCTGAATTAAACTGGTATAGCAAGGACATTAAATATATATTTTCATAAAATTCAAGTGATTTTAAAATAATATGACTGCATCCAAGAAACCTTAATAAAACTTCCATTGAAGGATTCACATTATTAACATAACTATTCACATTTTAAGGGAAACAAAAAACCATCTGAAAAACATTAGGCATTTCAATTCTGCATTTTTTCTGCTTCTCCCACCAGCTAAGCTGTACATTATTGAGCTTAGTATGGATTGGACATGTAAGGGATTTGAACCTGTGCATGTGGAAAGACCTCAACGCTCCACTATCAGAGTAATGCCTTAGCCAACTCAGCTAAGCAAACTAGCACTCGGAGGTGACAATCGACTATAACTATAACTGGGCTTAGGTTTTAAAAGTAAAAGTATTAACAATTTTATAATATAAAATGTCTTATTAATAATACACAGCAATTTGGCCATTTTGAATCAGTGTGCAAAAGAAAAATATGCAAACTGTGTTTATTATTGGTGAGTCGGTGGCTCAGACGGTAGCGTCACGGATTTCGGGCCCAATGCAGTGATGTCATGGATCCTGGTCACTGCCGCTACTTTTTATCAGTACAGTTCAACCTTATACTGTACCAGCACACCCCTTGCTTTGCTGGGTACGTTCCACGCACAGGTCTATAGCCTATGTGGCTGGGCAAATGCAAAAGAGACCGCCAACCTCTTTTTTTAGAAAAAAAATCATGCATAGCAAACCGAATAAATACTAGCGAGGAACGTGAAAAACATGAATAAAACTACTCACCCTGGGATTGGAACTGCTCTCTCCCAACGGAACCTGAGTTCTTGACAGAACTCAAACCAGAGATGTGCGGCTGCCTTGACTCCACCCAGGGTGTGAGTGGCGTGAGACATGACTACGGACAATCTCCATACCAGGCTGTCCACCGGGGCGGTCTTCATACCAGCAAACATCTCCTGCGGAACAAAGGCGAGAACAGATCATGAGGCTAAAACTATGGTGGTATCAAAAGTAAAAGAGCCTACTTATGATTAATCAGGCTGTGACACACTCTTGGTCTCATAATTAATGCTGAATTATGAATGCATTGCTGAATATTATCATTAATGCTGAATATGGATGCAGGGTCAGTCAGTAATGAACAGAGATTACCTATGTAGCTTCTATTAAAAGGGTAATTTATTGAAAACCCAATGTTCAAGGACAGCTGGGTCCAAAGCGACTTCTACTGTTTTTTTCTCTCAGGACCAGACCGAAGACTTTGAGGTTACATATAAGGAGATAACTATATCCACTCAGATACCAAGATTACTGAGTAAGTGTTGGATAAATAGATGAAATAGATGAAGCGGTATTACAGTTAACCAAAAAATAGGACCCTACTCTCTGTTGTCTTCTCCCCATCATAGACAATTTGTTGACAACTTATTGCAAGTATAGTATTTCCAATAGCAAGTACTGAAGAGTATTTTTTAATACAGATTTTTTGAAAAGAACCGTGAACTAAAACAACTATTATTATATAGTTAAATAGCCTACATTGCTATTTTAGATTATTTTCAGGGTAAATAAATAAAATATTTAAAAAAACATTTCATTTAGGATAAGTCTAGGAGCTATAAAAAGGTTTAATTCTAGGAACTCTATAATGGTTTGATAACTCGTTAATATAACCAAATCGACAACATGCAAAGCATAATACCACAACACTGTGTTGTATCAAAATTACAAACAATTTTTTAAGGAACAATAATATAAAATAACTAAAGCCTTGCTGCGTAAAATAATTGTTTTTTCTTTAAAAGTAAAAACTCACCTAAAATGACGATATTACAGTGTTAGCCTACATTTATATTTTCCTATAAATAAATACACTACATATTCTGTGGTACACTATATTTAATTAAAAAAAAAACGAATTTTCAAATTGATTTGAAAACATCAAACATACCTGGTTGGGTTTTGAATCTTTGACCAAGAAGTTTGTAAGATACTCTGGATAAGGGCTCCTCTGAAAATAACATTGATGAATTCAATGAACATTATATTGAGTACATGTAGACAACAAAACGAACAAAAATATTTAAGAAATAAAGGAACTAAATCCTGCTTTAACACGTTCGCTACTGCAATAGTACGAAATTTATCATTCACATGGACCAGCGACGCACATATGCGACGGCCGGTTTCCACCCATAGACTGACAACACATATTTGCGTGGGGGTTCTAATGTTATTAAAATGCTTATGTCTTTGTAACGGTCTATTTGAAGGCACTGAATTCCCTGCAGTGGTCTACAGAGATGTCTGACACACAACTGCGTCGCTTGGTCAGTGGATATGATGATTGGTGACGTCATATGATAGTTGGAAAAACTGGTCTTTACTTTTCTGCATCACTGTATGTATGTATGCAGTATTTATGCTGCATTATCCTCTGTAGCTTTTATATTTGTTCAGTTATAAACTGTTCTTGAATAATCTATTTTTTTTTTACTTACTTTTACCTCAAAACACAAACAACAATGAACTGTCGCATATATGCGACGTTTGGTCTATTTCAAGAAAAGTATGATAAATTTCACTATTGTCTTTGCTGTAGACCGGGCGTCGAAAATATGCGACATTACAAAAGGTTATAAAAAATACAAAAAAACAAGAATAAATTATTTACAAACACGATTGTAGCACATTACAATGTAAATGATCACTGTTTTACAGGTTTTCACCCATGGTCTGTGTGTACTGTTAACCAAGTGTCAGCCGGTGTATGTGTAAGATTCAAATGTATACCTCGGCCTGTGGCAATGACCGCGGCGTCGCGTATATGCGACACGCTCAGTAGCGAACGTGTTAAACGAAAATTACAAGCCATTATTGATTGTAGGCAAATCCAGGATGAAGAGGGATTTCTTGGCTTTGAAACTTTGTTTTTTTTTGTAACTAGATTCAATGAACTGATTCTTTTTTGAAATTTTACAATAAACAAGTGAAATCACCCAAAATACTCAATGGATACCTATGTTAGCCCATGGTCATTCCCTCACCACATTTTCATCAGCATCAGGGAACAAGAAGTACAGGATCGGCATGAGGAGATCATCAGAGATGGGGCCTTCCCTGATTTTCTCCTTCACAAACGACCCCTTGGCCTGTCCCAGCACCTTGGAGATGGTCGGGACTCTAGACTCGGTCAGCAGGTTGAGTGGAGTTGCCAGCGTAGGACCTGTCAGAGGAAACAATTCAATAGTGAATTATTGCATTGAAGTTCCTTGATTGGGAAAGAGAGTTAGTAGTGAGTGATACATATTTATGACTATTTACTGCCTAGGTTTCTGAGTGGTTATAGTGCCTACCTTTGCCTTCAAAACTAAAGGTTGCTGCTTCAATTGGAGGCAGGACTGCCTCTGGACTCAGATAGAATTTGTAATTAAACTATCAACTAATAATATTATCTGACAAAAGTTTTATGTTTGATGGCAACAATACCATGGTTTTGTCCATCCCTTGCAATAAAACTTTAATTCCAAATTATGTAAGAACTTGGAAGTCACACACAACTATTGCAATGATAGTTTACAGCAACAACCACTGAGCAAACAATCTGCCACTATTGGCAAATCTGATATTTTGGCAAATCAAAAATCAGTACATTTAACAAAGTTAATCCAAAGCCGTTCAACAGGGTTAAGTTATTTAAAACATTGCCAAACAATACAGGGTGGGAAAAAATCCCGGGACGGTTAAATATTTCAAAAAGTAATTAAGTTAGAGCTTCAAAACTTGGTTCACAGTTACTGGCATTAAAATAATTCTAACACATTAATTAGTGACCTCCTTAGGGGGACAGCCCGCTAGGAGCCAGTAGAAAATCTTAGATGTAAGCATAGGTTGATATGAACATCAAGATAAAGGAATTTGTTACTAAAATACAATGCCGCAAACCCGTACTCTAATGGACAACAGAGTAAAAAATTACAGCTATTCAAAGATGCAATCAATTTGCATTGCTTTGCTATTATAATAAGCTACCTCCTCAGGAGGGCACCTGCTAGAAGTCTGAAGAAAATAATGAACGTGTGCATAGTTTAATATATGCAAAACGGATTAAAGATCTTTATTAGAAGAATATAATACCGTGAAATTGAACTCAAAAAGAACAATGGCAGCAATTCAAAGATTAAAAAAGGCAGATTCAAGAAATCTTTGAACGGCTGCCATTTTTTAATCAGTTGTCCGTTAGAGTTTGGGTCTGCAGCATTGTATTTTAATTTTACTAACAAAGACCTTTAATTTGACGTGCATTTCAAGTCAACCTATCAACCTATCTTTGATCCGGTGCTTTGTTGATGTCCTTGGATAATAGAATTCCATGGAAGTGTACTACGTAGTAGTGGTGCAACGAGTCAATGCACTTTCAAACCTCAACTTTCAACACTATACACACCAGGTTGTTGATGCTGAAGCAGGTCCCCCAGAAGGTCAGACATGGATCTTGGGCTCGAACACAGATGCAGGAACTCAGACAAGTACTCGGAAAGTAGACACAGCGGCTTGTCTGCCATCTTGACTGCTACGCTCCACTGGGGTGCCTGCCAAGCATGATTATTTACTTCAGTCGAATAAAAACTCACCAGTACATGTCATTTTACTCATTATAACCCGATTTGTTTTGTTAATATAGTGTGCTGCAATAGTGTATCCAGAACTATGTCAAGAAGGGGAATGTACAGAGGATTCATGTTAAGGATCGATTCGGAAAAATATTACCCTCCTTCTTAATGAAATATGTCGATAATCAACGTAAACATTTGATAAAATGTGTACAGTTGTGTTTGGCAGATTAATCATGTTCAGTATTGAATTCCAAAACATTTAGTACTGTAACACAATTGTTTGGACTTAAAATTAAATAAATATATTTTGTTAGATTAGGTAGGCCTAAGAAATATTAAGGTTTTCCATCTTACCTGGCTAGGGTCTAGGTCTGAGTAGCTTTCGCTATCTACCACAACTGTCTCTCTCAGGCCATACCAGCTGGCATACAACACGAGTTCACTGTAAAGAACAAGTTATCTTGAGTTATTTAAACTTTAAATGGGAAGAATTTATATAAACTGGAATTATATAGCCCAGGCTCTTTAGGTAATTTTTTATTGTTTTTGTTATGTCTATTGTTATCATGTTTCTCCTCATATTATGAACTATAAAAGTAAGAAGTAGTCAAATGCATGATTTGCGACATGACTTACAAAGAATCAACCAATATCGCCATATTCAACGCAAGCCATTCACTATTATTTATTTTACAGTCAGCATGGTGGTTATTGCATTATAGTAATACCCTGTTGGCAGGATAAAAAAGAAAACATATTATTCAAACACTTACATTTGAATCCTAGAAAATGTTGTAGAAAACATAAGTTAATGTAACTAGCTGATAACCCACGGGCTTCACCCTGTTTGACTTCATAAGCATTAATAAAACTATTGATTGGTTAAGTTAAGCTGAAATAAAATAAACAAAACAGATTACAGTAATACAAACAAATAATCACACCTAGAATAACATATCTTACTAATAAGTATACAGCTGAGGTATTTTTAACATTAGGTATATGGAAAGTTCCCTTTAGAAAGGAATTACAACAATTTATGAAATAATGGATAGTTTTGCGCAAGGTTCTCGTTATGACGAACATTTGAAGTATATGCTTTATGGGGGTGTGACTTGTAGTTTTCTCAAAAGTTCATGGGTACTTTAGGATTTATATATGGATTAGTTAAAACAAATGGAAATGTTTTCATAAAGGGGGCTTAATAGAATATTATTTACAGTAACGTGTTAAGTATAAAAAATACATTCTATCCATAATCTATTTTTACTGCTATTGTACCTGACAGGGTCAAAAGTAGCACCGAAGGGTAGAGTGCCGAGTTCTCCAACACCTACTTCTCCCATGAGGAACTCAAGGTCAGGAGGTTCCTGGGTCCAAGCGAAGGACGTCCAGTCCCTCAGGATGTAACTCAGCCGAGCACTCACGGTCACAGACTCGGACAGCGAGGGTGAACCAAGTTTGGACTTAAATACGTTCAACAAACCTGCAAAATAATATTTTCCTGGTGAACAGCTGTTTTCAATTAATACATTGTGGTACTAAAGTAATTCTGCGTCACCGGTATTTTGGTCATGAACCTTCAGCTTGAATATTTGTTGATTAAACCAATTATCAATTTTTAATTTGTTTAATTAAGTGCAAATGTTAACAAATTCTAAAGAATGTAGAAGAAAGAATGTGGATGTGCATGTTTTTTTTAGCATGTATTGTATTTTTGGACCTTTCAGCATTTGTAGGGGAGCAGACAGCTGGTAGAACATTGGTTTGACAGTCAAACCACAAAATTCGTTGTTTATTTAGTACCAATGTATAATTGTATATTTAGGACATTACATATAATTGTAGGTATGCAAACAACACAGTGTTTCATTTTTTAGGGAGATAAGCATGATCAGTCTTGGTTGTATGGAGCTGAGTTGAAACTATGGAGCATACAGTAAATGAGTGTTGTCTTACTGCTTTCCTGCAGTTCTGGATGGTCTGCTTGTAATACATGTAAAGCAATTGTCCACAGCTTACAGAGGGGGGGGGGGGGTCAAGGTTGTCATGACCGCCTCCCCCCCCCCCAAAATCGGAAATATTTATGTCTTATTATAAGCTCCTCATACAAATACACTTTGTGTCCATAGATAAGTTATGTATATTGAAAGGGAATTTCAAGTTACATTGTGAAACCTACAATTGCTTTGCGGTCACCAGTCGTCTTACCACAAAACGAGAAGACTGACGTTAATAAATCAGCTTCATTCGGGTCAGTATTGTTCCTTCAGCTGAATTCAGCAGTGCTCATTTCCTGCTAATTTGGCTACATTTTGAAAATCTCCCACAATCCTGAAGGTGTCTTCATAGCACCCGCAATTAAGTACATCATCCTCATCGTCTCCTTCGATTGTAGAAAATTCATATACATCCCCGAAATGGCATAGAAAGCATTATCCTATCCCACAATCTAGGGAAAATAATTTAATAACCAATATCTCGAGGATTGGAAACCAAATAAGTAATTAGAAGTAGATCTTAATTTTTAGGTTAGGACTTTCTATTGGTCTGCTCAAAAACATAAGCCCATACGGTAAGGGAAGAGTTACATATGAGGGTGCATGGTGTGCACAATGTCACCTTAAAAGATTTAGACAAATGTCTAGTTATCTTTAATCCAATTGTAAAAAAAAAAATTGTTCTCTCAAGTAGGCTAGGCCTAAATGAAATCCAACATAAAAAAAAACTGTTAGCAAAGGTGTAGATGTCTGTACTTTGTACATAGATACCACACATATATTATGTCACTGTATCTTCGGCATTACCAGTCATTTAACAATCATAATTAAAATATAGTCTACATGCTGGCTCAACGTAACATATATGTTGGTGATATGTTTGGTTTAAATCATGAACTTATTATTCTTTACCTGTCAAATGTTTGCAATGAGGTGGAACCCGGCGTAGGTGGACCATCTCATATTCCGCTCTTATTCCTTTAGCCTCACAGACACCGAGAAAGAAGTTCTGCCAAGGTTCCAACACTTGAATGAAAACAGGAACTGAGCTGGAAAAAAGGAGGAAGCACAAATGAAAAATCAAAAGAAGAAAAGCAACTTAGTAGCGAATCAGGAGACAACGCCAATAATACTATTAAATTCTCACACTAGATGTTTATACTTACCAATTACTGTTGTTGACAGCAATGCAGACAGAGCTGAGCAGTATTTTTATCTTGCTCTCTGAAGTGATGACGACGCTCTGGTTTGGTGTGAGGACTATGAAGTCCCTTAGCCCGTACCACCGTGTAAGCAAGTGTGGGTGAGACTTGTTGCCTTCAAACACGATCGGCACAAAGTCGTTCTCTGTGGACATCATATCTTCCAGTGGTTGAAGCTTTGACATTTCTGACTCATTGTCCAGCATGTTGTTAGCCCCTTCCTCTTCGGACAATTTGGCATAGTAACGAGTCAAAGTGAAGTCTACATCTATGAAAAAATTTATTTATTTATTTACACAGCAAAATTGCCATTTTTACAATCAATTACATGAATAAAAACTTGTGGATTATTAATACTATTTACATGCAGTGAGTTTTACATCGTGCTTTATGGTCATGCTTTATGAATTTAAATTTTTTTGTGCTAACACTAATGATTTGCAACTGAATAATAAATTATTAAAAATAATTATACTACAGTAGACTCCCCTTATCCGGACTCCTCGGGACCGAGGTCAGTCCGGATAACGGGGTTTCCGGTTAAACCGGCGTCCCCAAAAACTCTTTAAAACAGACTGTTTACTGTGATATTCGACTTAAATTTAGGAGAGCATTATTGTATTTAGACACGTGATCACTGGTCTCAAATCTTTCCCACCAGAACAGTCGTTCCGGTACTGCCCACTTCCTGCCTATCTAAGTTAGTCAAATTAAACCAATGTGCTAATAAAAATTGTCCCGTTAAAGAGATGTCGGGTACAGTTTCATAACTGGGCTACGCTAATATTGATTTAAACTATCGATTCGATTAGTTCATGCGATTTTTTTCACCATCAGCAAGTTTGGATGGTTAGGTTAGGTTATGATACATAGTTTAATTTTATAATAGATATATTTTAAAATATCGATTATTAATGAATATTTTCAATCCGATAGTTTCAATCAATATTAGCGTAGCCCAGTTAAGAAACTGTACCCCCATGACCTACCTGCGAAAGATAAAGTTTCAGTTTTAGTCTCCCATGATGAATTAAATAACTGTTTGTGTTGTAATGCAGGTTTAAGAGGAATATGCGATACTTTCCAATCATGAATTATTTCCTCCAGCCTAGCTATGAATATTTCCCATTCTGAAGCTGTTGTAAAGTCATAGTGATAACTATCCTGTTCATCTATATCTTCATTAAGCATGACTGATACTGATACGAGATTAAAATTTGAGAGCTTGCTCTGTTGTTCAAACCCAACGGTTAAGTATGTCAGTCAGAAATGGCACAAATATTATTCACAAATCGTAAATGAATATCTTTCATTGGTTGATACTCTGACTCTAGTGTATTTCGTAAAGTAAATAATCGACAAGGTTAGATTTTTGACAGCAAAACAAAAGACAACAGTGACAGCCTGACAGCAGAAGCAGAGTACAGTGCAGGCAGACTGCAGACCACTCTGAGTCTCGATCAGATGTTTTCTGTGACCAGACTCGACTCATTGACTGGTGGAGGTGGATCCTGGTGGATTGAAATAATCAGATTCAGTCAGACCCTAGTACCACGGCCGCCTTTAAAGGCGGCCGTGCGTTGCCGCTTCGAAGGCCGCGGCGGCGTGCCGCGGCAGGCGGCCGTGCCTCTAGTTCAGTTAGATTCTGGACTCAAAAGTCTAGTCCAGTCTAGTAAGAGTTCAGCAGTTCAGTCCAGTCGGAGTAAACTAGTCGAGATCAGTCAGGAGTCAGATTGAGGTAGAGACTTGAGAAACTCGTAGAAGAAGAGAAGAAAAAATAGAATAGTCACAAAAAATAGAGAAACGATAAAAAATGATCAAACAAAAACAAAACGAAATGAAGAAGAGATCTAGCTAGAGCTAGAGATTAGAGAATATTAGTAATTATTAGTAGACAGTTGTGTTGTTGTGTCTGTCTGTGCTGTGTTTTTAGTGTTACAACAACTACTAAACTTAAGTTACTGAGTATTTTTTAAGAGAAAAACTAACAAAACTGCAACTAAAACTTGAAAGTTTTCAACAAATAAATAGGCCTGGTAAGTTCTCTGACCACTTGCACTTGCCTATTTTAAGCCAATTCTAGAACACAACATTGTGAAGGAAAATTAAGGTTAGTAACTAACTTAGTGTACTACAGTATTGTAAAATTTGTTAGGCCTACATTAGCTTATTTGAAGGGTGGCCTCCCTTCTCTTTCCTGATTTTCTGGAACAAAGTTTTTAAGGATTAGTGTGATATTATAGGCCCAGTTTATAGACTTCCCGAGTGCATCCTATTATCGATCACAAAAAGAATCGATTCCTTTGATAACCAAACTTACAGACCCTGTTCACTTGTGGGCTTTAGACGCCACGCTTTGAACCAACGTCGCCAACAAGTGGCAATTGTAGTTTTCATTAACCCTCCGAGTGTCACGTGTTTTGGCCTTAATGTCAGCCTATTTTTTGCTCATTTGCAAGGTTTTATTAAAACTGATCTGAGAAGCTTAAAAACAATGTTAATTATACTGTTCTATATACCATTTTGTTTGGAAAATCATGGGCTTCAATATTATATATAAAACATAAGGAACATTTTTTCAAAAAAAAAATTTTTATGTAAAAAAAAAATATAATTTGGAAAATTTTCAAAAAAAAAATAAGTTCGCGCTCAATGAAATTGTATAAATTATAGGCCTATAAATATTTGAAAATAGCCACTTTGTTCTAAATTTTATGAGGATTACAAATATATAATCATATAGTGAGGTAAGTTATGAAATAAAAAAGTTATGAGTGAAAAACATGTTTTGCGCGTTTGAAAGAAAATACCGAAATCGCCAAATGACTCAACACCTTTCATAAAAACACATATTGAACCAACCAGAGTATTTCATGTTGTATGAAATTTTATTTACAGTTAGTACAAAATCAGCCTACTAGTAAATGAGAAAAATACAGCATGGTTTTACCTTGATTGGGGCCAGAATCCTTTGCCGAACTTGAAGAATTCGTTTGCTGAACTTGATAAATTACAAAGTATCCAAAATATATTTACAAAAAGTCACAAAAGTTAGACAAAAAACTTGCAAAGTTGTTGCTGTCAATAGTTTTCAACACTTGTAAATAAAAACTAAACACTTATGAAAAGAAATATTATATACAGAAGAATTAACACATGGGCCTAATCAGAGTCCTCACCGCTACTTTGGTCTAGGGTCACTTTGGCCCTTTTTCTGCCCCTCTTTAGCCTCAAAAAGTGCTGCATTTTGTGGAAGCATTCTCGGTGAACACCCACATTACAACCGGGGCACCAAAATCTAGACCTGCCTCTAGTTTTGGTGTGACCACAAACGATACACTTTCTTTCTTGTCTTTGAGGCAGTTTTTCAAGTCGGTGGTCACCGCAATCTCCGTGGGGTCCAGGAACTGGTCCAGGTAAGGCATCGCAGGTTGCTTGGCCTACGAGGGATTCTACAATAGATATGTGGAAATCTCTTCTTGATACAGGTTTGTCAGTGTTCTCTCTGTACAGAATGTAAGCATTTACGAGCGCAATATCAATAAAATTGAAGAACAGCTTCTTCCAGTACTTGGAAGTGGTGCGGTTGCAAGACATATGGTACACAGATTTGTCGCTTACATCTACACCACCCATAAACTGGTTGTAATGGTGTATCAAAACCGGTTTCATACCTCTCAGTCCCTTTTTACTTGTAACAATTTGATCTTCCGCATGGTATGCTGTAGAAATCAAATACACAATTTTCCTACTCAGTTTCTGACGGTAACCAACCAATAACAGATTTCCCTTTCTAAAGTATACTGTTTCCCTTTCTCCTAAGTTATAGTTTTTAATTCTTTTTGATAAAAATTTTGACTTTTTGTTTATGGTTCCGGTGATGAATGTTTGTCGTTCAAGAAGGTGTTCAGCCAATGGGATTTTCGTGTAGAAGTTGTCGGTAAAGACATGATATCCTTTGTCAAACAATGAAGATTTTTCAACCAAGTTCTTTACTACCCTCTCAGTAAATAACTCTTCATCATAATTAGCTTCAGCAAGGTAGTCACGTCCACTGTATAGTTCCATGTGCATAACATAATTGGTGGCACTATCGCAAAGTTCGAACTTCTTAATTCCGTATTGCTTGTGTTTCTTATTTGGCATATATTGAATAAATATGCATCGGTTCTTTGTTCCTACTACACTTTCGTCGATGGAGAGTTCCTGATTTGGTACAAAGTGTTTTTTGAAACTTGAATTCAGATGATCTAACAACCACCTTACTTTTATCCAATGGTCATGTCCAGGCTGACCCCTCTCAACAGCGCGGGCCGATGTCAAATGCAAGAAACTGCTTATTAGTAAAAACCTATTTATCGCCATGGTGTTTGAATAAAATGCTATATGTTCTGTTTTTCTAGTGTCCCAATATGATTTGATGTTTTTTCTAACTGTCATTCCCATATTGATAAGAATAGCAAAAAACTTTTTCATTTCCTGTATGGAAACATTGGTCCATTTTTTGAGCCTAGACTGTGGACTCAAATTATCTCTCTTTTCATCTAATGTTCTTTGAGCATAGGCATTAGTCTCTCTAGTTATGAGATTCCAAAAGGCAGCTGTCAAAAATAGGTTCAAATAATTGATAGGGGAAGAATTTCTGGGGGGTAAATCTTTGGGTCCTGTAGCCCTAACTTGAAACTGAGGTCTGACATCTTTCGGAGGTTCGGGGGGATACACCCTAATCCAAGGTTCTATGTTTTGCTGTACTGGTATTAGCCTAGGCCTACCTGCATTAGGGTCTTGTTCATTTTCAATTTCAAGATTTTCGTCAATATCTGACGTCTCTAAATCGTTCAAATCGGGCACATATTCCTCTCCACTCCCTGACGAAAAGTCTAGCAAAGATAGTTCAGAATCTGAATGATAATTAACTTCTATGTCACTACTAACTTCATCCGGATCGTCAATAAGTCCTTCACCATCACTAATTTCATCTTGTAGTGCATTACGTATATCACTACTGTCCATTTTCACCACTAAAAACGACGATAAACGTACAAAAACACACAAGTCACCGATGCGAAATATCCAAGATGTCTACAACACGAACGTCAGCTGTCTACTACATTTTAGGATCGGCTCAGATAACCTACAGCGCTGAGACAGACATTTGGAGAAAGCTTAGAATATAATGGAAAGAACGATGCCTAACTCAATGCAGTACAGTCCGATTCAGTTAGTAATAGAGCCTTCGCCGTAAACAGTGTTCGCGAGTCGCTGCAGCGACGCACGACACTATACAAAGTGCGTTACGCGTCGCTGCAGCGACGCATGACACTCGGAGGGTTAAACGCTAGACAGGTATCGTCATACAGTTTGACTCGTAAGATTGAAGTAGGCCTATGCTTTCCAAGAAATCAACTAGCAAGGACATAAACATACGATCCAACATACGATAAAGTTCAACTAGAGGTGGGCCGATACCGATACTTGATACCAAAACACTCTCGATACCAGCAGTATTGAGGTATCATCGATACTCGATACTTGCCTGTTTTGGGTTCGATACCTACCTACTGACACTGAATTGTATGAATCAGTGTGGATTAAATCAGTTCAGAGTGGGTAAATTGCCGTTACGAATACATCTGTTTCCATCGGCCTACTTAGTAGTAGAGACAACCTTATTGGCTAGTTTTCACCTCTAGGGATGATATTTGGTTTGGTTGATCACCACTGCGAGCGCTAGTGGCCTTGCCATTTTGATAGACATGACCTCATTGGCTAGTTTTCCATCCAGAGACGATGTTCGGCCAATCTCGTGTTAAGTTATTTTATAGCGACGTGGATACTTGGTTTGGTTGATCACCACTGCGAGCGCTAGTGTCCTTGGCATTTATTAGACACAATCTCATTGGCTCACCTACTGCCCTGCAAAGACAATCAACCAATCACGTGCTATGTTTTTAAGCGACATTGAAACTTGGATTGTTGTTGAACGCCGCACCGAGTGCTAGTGTCTTTACTAACTTATTAGAACCTTTCTCATTGGCTGGTTTTGGATTGGAGGTCGACGATAAACCAATCACGGTTAGCGTTTTAGAGATTAGTTAGCCCTGTTATATGCACGATCACAGTGTTGCAGTTACAGCTACAGCAGCAGTTAATTTTGTATGATCCATTTGTATATTGACTGTTGAGGTTATGTTATTGTTATTTCACATTGGTTCTAATTGAATTTCTTTTGATTTTAGTTAATGAATGATATAGTTTCTTATTTAATATGAGTAAGCGTAAAAGTAATGTGTGGACCCTTTTTAATATTATTAGTGAAAGTATGTAGTGATGTGGCAAAATGTAAACTGTTCAAAAAATATATTTCTCGTGGGGGTAGGTCTTGTACGACTTCTAACCTCATTAAACATCTGAAACTTAACCATCAACGTTAATTTTTCTAGAGAAAATTTAACAAACCAACAGTTGGGGAAGAAAATATAGGCCTAGGCCAAGATAGATGATCCCAACAAATTACAAGTTGTTGTGCTTTTTGTTGTGTTTCAAATAGGGTCTGTTTAAATTATACATAACACACTAATATGGATACAAAAATGTGTATGTATAAACAAAGATATTCTGCTTATTTAGCGTTGACAATAAATGTGTTCATATTAAAATTAACGTTTTATTTGATTCCAGCTGTTATTTTGATAGGTATCTGAAGTATAGGTATCGAGAGTACTTTGGTGGTATCGGTATCGACAATTTTTGGTATCGGCCCATCTCTAGTTACGACCCAACCCGGGCAGCCATCACAAGGCCAATGACTGCTGAGAGCCAGGGCTAGAGATATACAAGGGTTAGGCTACGAGCGAGCTCAGAAGGTGATGCCAGGTGGCTCCCCACCTAGGCCTATCTCGGGCTTCCAGCACCGTATATCTTTGCCTGTGTGAGCGCTGGTATTGCCGCACATTTAGTGTCAAATAAGCACTATGTTGCAAATTTTTAATTAGGTACCGTACTACTGTATTTTATAAAAGTAAATCGATTTTCAAATAGGATTACGTGTAATACCAATATTTTAATAAGTAAAGAAAGTAACTTTAACTTAGTAGAAAAACTTGATTATGGGAGTGGAATGTAAAATCGCTATAAAATACTGTATTTATTGGTCGGATACACTACAGTAAGTTACTGTGTAGTAATATGCCTAACAAAAAAACCACACTTTATTACCCTCCCTAAAGGCAAAAAACTTAGGTAGCCTACTATTTAAACTTATAGTAATGTTATTGAAATAGATTTAATTGAAAATCAAATCAGGCAAATGGAAATTCGCTTAGTCTGCAGGTTTGCTGCGGCGGGGGTATTTCTATTGTAATATTTACGCCAACCCAAATTCAAATAGTAAATATTTCATTTCAACCAATTCATTAAATGTTTGTAACACATGTTTTGTTAAATTGCAACTAAAATATTAACAGCAATTACATTATCCAGCTAATTATAATGTAAACAAATATATGTTCTTTATAAGGACAACATGGACACTTTAAAAGCCACTGGGGTGAGCCCAAGGGACTTCACTTCAATGGTAAAAAAATTAGTAAAAAAAACCTAACTTAAATGGTATGCCTAGCATACTATGTTTTACTCTAATCTGGCAACTTAACTCTAGGTAAGGGAAGGTAAGTTAGATAGGCCTAACTAATTTTGTTCGTAAATTCGTCCCCAATGCATAATTTAGGCCTATGAAGAACTCTCTGTGAAATCAACATGTATTCATGACACTTTTTTCTTTCAATTTACAGCCTTAAAATGCAAACTAACAATCATCGAATGTCCCCTTTGAGCAATTCCAATCATGCGAATGATGAATATGACTTCGATGATGATGACAACTTGTCTGCCCATGATTCAGAAGAAAGTGATGAAGGTGAGCAAACATAAGAAATGCAGTAGTTAGGTAGATGTAGGTAAACTAAAAACATTGTTTAGTCACTTTTTGAATTCCCTTATAATAGGCCGTTTATTTTTTTTTTTTAGAGGTTGGCAGCTTCTTTTAACCCTGCATTTTACATCTCATGTAAGCCTAAGGTCTGTCAGTAGAATGTATCGAGCAAAGCTAGGGGGTGAGCTGGTAGGCTCTAGATACAAGAGTGAGCTATTGGCCTTCAGATCAAATGTATTGGCAGGCACCAGGGCCCAATCCCACAAATTGTAAACAACAGGAACTTGCCTTGGATTCACAGTCAATTGCTCTACCAACTGAGTGATCGACTTTCCATAACGCTGCAATGTCCTTGTAGAAAATAAAAATCAAAAGATTGAGAATATTACTGAACCCCATGAACATGTACTTTTATAACCCTTTGAGTGCCAAGCGTCTCGCTCCCAGACGCTCCATTGTAGCTTGAATGCTGAGCGTCTTTTAACAAGATGGCTGATGAGGTTGTGCGAGAAATTCCAGCAAAACCAGCAGCAGGTTGTGTTCCAGCGTCTTGGAACGATACAATCAAAAAATCACTTCTTATAGTGTGCCTATCATATTTCGATAAAGCTGGCTGCAAATTGTACCAAAAGCGACATAAGGAGGCTGGAAACAACTAGGCCAGTTGGACAAATGTGGTAAAAAATAAAAAATAAACCATTACCCATCAACCAATAGACAGCTTTACATAGACATAGACATTCTTTATTGCACAAAACATTCCATACATGTCTAAAGTTAAGTTGGAGGAAATGTGATGTACTGTAGGCCTACTGATGTAATACCCACAGAATTGATGCCTTCTCATGTTTCAGGGACAGAAGAAGCCAGTGAGTCAGAAATTGCCAAAGGGGCTGAAGAATATACTGAAATTAAGGAACAGTAAGTGTCCTGTAACTGTACTTGTATTGATAATGACATAAATTGTTTTCTTGGTTTCCCCTGAAACAAATATCAAGGTAACATTGTTAAATTTGATTCCACATGTCATCATAAGTATTATGTTTGTTCGTAGACTTTTTCTTTATAATAAGATAACCTTCACTCTTATTTAGGTAATTATAAAATGCATATTGACAAACTAATATAAAATTATTGTTAGTGTGCAAAAATGTGTTGTCTTATTGTAAAGACATGGATAGTGACTTATAGGTCTAGTTAATAAATTATTCAAAGTTGTACTTCCTGTCAAAAATAGTTGAGTTTTATAATACCGAAATGGTGTAGTAAGGAATTTATTCAGCTATATGGTTTTTGATTCTTATACCATGTTTTATATGGTCCTTAGAGGTTAATCTCAATTCACAACCTAGCGAAAGATGTGGTAAACTGTTTTGTAGGCATATTATTTGTGGCAGTAAAATCTAATTGGTTTCTTTACTTTCAGAGTTTATCGAGATAAACTGGCAAATCTAAAAGCACAATTACAGCAGTTAAAAGATGGCACACACCCAGACTACAATCGTATAGTGAAGAAACTAGAAGTGGAGTGGAAGGAAAGGTAACAAACTCACTTAAATGCACACACCAAAATAATGGTATACCATAGTTTGTACTAAAAATATTCAGGTTGGCAAATGTTTTACTGGCTATCCCTTTTGCAAGTGATAAATTTAATAGCCAGTATAAATATTATGAAAACACATGCTTTTGCTTTTAAATATAACAACTATACCACGACAGATAAATCCTGTTGCCTTGGTCATTTTCTAATATACTAGCTGTACCCGCGGGCTTTGCCCCGTTTAACTTCATAAGTGAGCTCGTTCACATGGCTCAATAACACCCAGGTTGAAGTTTGTTCGCTACACTCACTCACCTTTTGGTTGCAAATAAGCTGGGGTCATAAATTAAAAAAAATAATAATAGTACTGCACCCTGTTGGTAATCCTTGTAACTTTAATGCTATTGAACATCATAGAACAGAACCAACTTGTTTAATTGAAACAGCTGTTTAAATGCATTGATTCCTTTAAATATGATTACTCATAAGGTTAACATGGGAAACTCCAGAGCCACTGGGGCGGAGCCCAAGAGTCCGATCAGAATAAAAACAACTTAGTTTTCCTATTTAATGCCTAAAGAATCAGCGTACCAAATTTCAGCCCCCTAGGTAAATAGGAAGTAAGAGAATTATTGATGAGTGAGTCAGTGAGGGCTTTGCCATTTATTATATAGATTTGGATTTCTTATGATAGTTTTGGTTACCAAGGTTTGCAGGCTTTGATTCATCGGGGTTACTGAATAACTTTCTAAACAATTTTCAGGGAGTTAATATATCGTTAACGTTTTTAGGTTACGACTGAACGTGATCTGGCGTGATTACCTGGTGGAGTGTGTGGAACGAGATTACATCATCGAGAAGAGAGCAGCGAACAAAGATCTGGAGGAGAAGAAGGTGGAGTTGCGGCATAACCTGATTTCGGAAATGGAGGAGAAGCGGAAAATGGTGGAGAATGAACGGGTTACCATGGAGCTGAGTGGAGACTGTGCGGAGACAAAGCCTGCTATGACGAGGAAACTGAGGCGGAGGTGGGGGTGAGACATACACACAATCTGTTGTACATTCACCTCTCAGTACAACAATACAGACAGCTGATGTCTGACAGATACTGAACACAGTAAAATATCCTTAGTACATTACTAAACTACTAGGTGAAACCCGTCGAAATCGACGGTTACTTTCAAGGCTTACGCTAATTAATCTAACTAAATTGAGTAAAATTATACATATTTTGAGCATTTAGCTTGTTTAAAGATTAATAAGTGTAAAATAATGATATTAATTGCGTTATTTACCAAATATGGTTGATCATTCAATGAATAAAATATTTCCCATACCGTACGTCATCGGAGTTATTATTAGTATGTAATCTGGTATCTCTTCCTTTGGAAGAACCTTTAAATAGTATTAAAATTGTATTGGTGGATCTTTTGTAGTTAAACACTTCCGTGATTTGATCAGTGTAATGCAGGTTTATCTATGATTTTTCTGTTTGTTGGAAAGACACGTACTAACTTCAAAGGGAGGTACATCCGTTACAGTGTAAGTGTGATTTTTCCTTCGTCACGTCAGTTCATATCGTACTTCTGTGCCAATGAAAACCCCTCTAGCACGGTTTTGAGAAATTGGTTGTGTGGTTACTGTTAAAGCTGGAATTCCTTGACACGGGGGATGTCAGTTAGTTGTTTCAGCCTTATCAGTTACATAAAGTTGTCTATATAATCTATCTACAAAATGTTAGGTGTAGTGGAATATACTTGAAGTGAAGTTGGCTTTTATTCTTGAACTGTTAGGGGCCTCCTCATTTATATGGTCGTGCAGCTTCATTGGCAACAAATAATGAGAATGAAATAGTAATGTGGCATTTCCAAAAAGCAAAAAATAATGTAAATTCGCTTTTAAGTAAATATTGACGTTTACATGCATTGTTAATCAACGTATCTTATAAAGGATGATGTGATCTAGTTTAAAAGGAATATGACATATCTGTCATGACAGTAGCTGCTTGAATAGTATATACTCATTGGGCCATTTTTACAGCCAAAATGTCGTGTTATTTTCAATAATGTTACCAACACCGTGGGCCACGGTGGGTAATATAGGCCACTGCAAATAATTTGTCAAGATAGGTTCTATTTAGGCAAGGTTTCTGTATTTGGATGTTATAAGAAACGGTAAGAGCACAATAAAATTCTTCTGCAGATGAATTTTCTGTTGGAGAAATATAAGCCAAATTATAAATGTCACAATGCGAGTTTAAACATTTTGTAACTATATTATATGGGTAAGTTACATATATATTTTTAGGCTGTTGCTCAGTGCACTTTAAGAATATATATTTTAGAGATAGATTAAATGATTTTTGTTGCTGAGTAGCGCTAGTAAACATGCACAAACATTTTCGTTAGTCTAAAATACATTCAAAGGCTCTTTAAAGAGTTCAAGTTCTTATTTGTAAACATATCTATATTATGTTTTCACTAAGCTGAATGAATACATCGAAGTGACCTCTGTGAAAAGTCTGCAGTATATTGCAGTTTTCCAGCTTAACCCTAGATCTGGCGGTCATTTTATTCACCAGTGGCGGGTATATTTTGGCGCTTTTTTAGTGGTATCATATATTTTGCCACAGAACATTTATTTGTGAATATAAGTACACACATATATATATATTCTATTTCAGTGATGAATTTAGAATATAATAATATAAAAATATTCTTTTCCTAGCACTGCGTTTAGGCGTAGTAGCAAAAGGTTTGCAAATTTTTTGATTATGCAAAAATTAGAAATTTCAAAAGCAACCCACAAGAAAACCACAAAATAATTTTTTTTACACATTTTATCTAAATGTAAAGTTTGTGTGAAATATGATTCCCTACGTAGGAATATCAATGTTTTTTAAATGCTCATAAAAATAAAATTATAAAAAAATAAATTCTTCATACATATTTTCTTTTTTGAAAAACTACCAAATTTCTTTTTGTCACGTTGGAAATAATAGAATGCATCAACAAAAAATGTAATGATACTGTACAATAGGTAATTAAAAGATCTTTCTGAAAATATATAGTTATATTTAGTTAAATTCTAAAATGTCGGAAAAATTTACGTCGAAATGTAAAATTTTGAAGATTTTTTTACAAAAACATAATATTTATGACATTTTCATAAACAAATAAAATTTGTACAATCAACCTTATAGATTCACAGGGAATTGTAGGGAATTTATTGTAGTTTCAGAATATGTACTAATATTGTATACAATTGACAATCACCAAAAACAGCTGTTTTTGTAGTCAGGTGACCAAAACTTTCCACCGCCAAAATCTATTTTGAACTCTCTAGTTTTTCAAACTACCGTTTCTCGCTACATAATACTCGCTCAATAATGTTTTATGCATGAAAATGAATCCTCAGAATCTCATCTTTTTAATGGTATACGTTTTGTAGCGTTTTAAACCTACAAAGTTTTATGGCTACCATTTTCGCGCACATGTTGCATTGGTCCTTTTAGGGACCATGCTAGTTCACAGTTGAAAAATTGAGGTCCAAAAATGGACCAACGCCAGATCTAGGGTTAATGACTTTCTAAATCATGCACATATTTCTACATAAATATTGTAAAATGTTTTATCCAGTTGTTGTAAACCAATATTAATTTAAGAAAATATAGACACTGCTGAAATGGGCACCATGCCCTTCTGCACTTGTATATTTTGTATTGTATTACACAATCGAAGATTTTTTCCAATGATTGAAAGCATGTATGACAATAATCTAATGAACCTATGATGATCTGTCTAGAATAATATGATAAAATATAAGGGAAAGGTTAGAAAAAGGCAGACGTCAACCCGTAAAATATATATAAGATAGTTCAATAAGGAATAATTTTAAGAGTTATTGTGATAAAAGGATTTTCCACTGATTTCGTAATGGAACTTTATATTGCAACACATGTTATAAAACAAAAGAAGATCAATTTTCAAATCTGAAAATAACATTGCAAATACTTCTTTTGGACTATTCAGTAGCTCCCAATAAATTTGTGTGGTTTAAAATACAATTTTAAAATTAACAGCTGTTTTATTAAAAAGTATTATCCACATGACCAAAATGTAAACAAATCTGTGGAGGGATCTTTAGAGGCTTCTGGGGCAGGGCCCTAAGCGAATTTACGTCGTTTTTCTTTTGATAACTCATCTAGAGAAGAAGATCTTTCGTTGGACACCCCTACCAAGTTTCTACGCCCAGCCGTTCTCTCAAATTAGTGGAGACAAAGTTTCCAATATTTAAATATTTAGATTCCCCCATGTTAATCTTATGGGAGAAAATCGAACTTTGATGGAAGATCCAGCCCAAACTAATAAAGATATCAAACAACTAAAAACACTTTGCAAAACTACAGGCCAGGGCAATTTTTTTGATACTTTAAACATCAAAATCGGTCCAAAAATGAGGGAGGAGTTCTGTTCACAAAAATCGGCTTAGCGTATTATATATATAGATTATTATTAGTTCGTCTTAATCTCATCAAATCCCTCACTAAACCCCTTCTCCTTCTATTTTCAATATTAACAGTTCTATGTCTTGGCATTTTCCAAACAGTAACAGGAATAGGCTAAATCAACAAACTATACTTTCTCTCCATAATTTTGAATGTCATAAAAAAGATTAAAATTGAGATATGTCATAAAAAAGATTAAAATCGAGATAAAAACAATACTGAAAAATGAAGGAATTCAAAACAATAAAATATTCAACTAAATACACATAAAAACGAAACAGTTTTAACAGTTCTACGCCTTGGCATTTTCCAAACAGGAATAGGCTAATTATAATTATTATTATTAGTTCGTCTTAATCTCATCAAATCCCTCACTAAACCCATTCTCCTTCTATTTTAAATATTAAAAGTTAGTCTATGTCTTGGCATTTTCCAAACAGTAACAGGAATAGGCTAAATCAACACACTATACTTTCTCTCCATAATTTTGAATGTCATCAAAAAAGATTAAAATAAAGATAAACACGATACTGAAAAAGGAAGGAACTCAAAACAATAAAATATTCAACTAAATACACATAAAAACGAAACAGTTTTAACAGTTCCCCGCCTTGGCATTTTCCAAACAGGAATAGGCTAAATTAACTTGATAACCTTCTCTTCATCCATTCAAATATGTCACGAAAAAAGATTCAATTCATAATGAAAACAACACTGAAAAATAAAGAAATCCAAAACCATAAATCATTTAACTAAATACACATTAAAAATGAAACAGTTTTACTTCATTCACTACAAAGAAAACACTATTGTTTACGTTAGCAACACTCACATAATGTTTACAGTTTGATTTAGTGGAAATGTAAACAAATCACCTGATCAGCTGCTGTAATTTAAAATTAAATATGAAATCAAAACAAAACAGATGCAATTTAAAAACAACTTATTCCCCATGTTAATCTTATGGGAAAAAACCCAACTTTGATGGAATATCCTGCCCAAACTAATAAAGATTTCAAAAAATTAAAAACACTTTGCAAAACTACAGATCAGGGCCATTTTTTTGACACTTTAATCATCAAAATCGGTCCAAAAATGAGGGAGGAGTTCTGTTCACAAAAATCGGCTTAGCGTATTATATATATAGATTGATTCTGAAAGGTGAATGTTTAACAGGGTGAAGGTTTAGAATTAATGGCACTTGTTCTTTGTACTTACATCCAAGATATAGTAGACCTCTCATTTGGACATCTCACTCGATGCTTGTATACTCGCACACACATACAGTAGGTTAGGGCCTCATTAATTTAAACCATGGTATCTCAATGGCAAATGTTAGTTCGCTTAGTCTACAGGTTTGCTGGGATGGTGTATTTTTTATGTTTATATACAGTATTTAAAACAACCCAGTAACTGTTCCGTGTTGTTTATAATCTAGCCTATTTTATAATTTCCAAAAAAATATTTTTGTTGTAAGGTGGGTTTATACAGTTCAACGTTTTATCTTGCTTCTACAATTACACATACACTAATTATGAAGGTTTGGCGTGCAATAGTCGAGTTATCAAGGTCGTAGGCAAACTAAAACTTCTCAACAAAATCTCAATAAATCTTTTTACCCACCCCCTGGAATCTTCAATAGGCTATACGTGATTCAATTAATTTGATATTACGGGCAATTCAGTTTGATATCACTCCTTAAGTTTTAGATATTGAGGTTCTACTGTATTTACAAACTAATAATGTAAATATTATCTCTCTAGTAGTAGTTTCTTATAAACATGTACTCTACTTGTACTCTACTATCGTATTCATCCTCTGCTCATGATGGTCTAGGCCCCACGACCCTGCGCCACTGCCAGACAAGCGTAGAGGCAAGAGTGCGTCTCACCCAAGTCATCTCAACTATCTGGCGGAGGAGAAGGAGATTGACGCGGACCTCAAGGCCATCCTGCGTGGACCTCACCGAGGCAACACCTCCCGCAAGCCTGGTTAGATCAATCCTACAATACAAACTACTTAACTTAGTTTTCTCTTTGTGTAAGGAAAGGCTCTACACTGCCATCTTACCTTACCCAATAGTGATAAGCGGCGTCACTGCATAGTTAGCAACAGCCATTATATCAATTATCAACCATGAACCACTATTACTCTCTTTGTCTACAAGGGACGAAATATTGTGTGTTTTGTGTATTCCAAATCATTAATAAAACTAAATGGCCTACCTGGACTATCTAAGCAGTGTTTCTTTACACAGGATTATTATCCCAAAAACGGGATTTTTAGACCATGAGCAGGATTAAGACGGGATGCGGGATAATAAAACACTTAAGAAAGGACAACAAAATTATGCGGGATAAAACAGGTTTTTCATATTTCAAAAGCGGGAATTAACGTGATTTCTCGACCCAGTAAGCGGGATTATTTTTTTGGTCGTGTGGATACACTGTATCTAAGGTCAGCTAGCTGGCTCTCTTTTTATGCTGTTTTCTGTTATTGATTTTTAACAATTTATTCCTTCTAAAATGTATTATATCCTTAGGATTATAATTAAGGTATGATAAGTATAATTAAGGCTAGTGATATTTTGTTGCCAGTTGTAAAGTTTTTAATATTTTACAGGTTCCAGTGTGTGTTTCTGTAACTAATGTTTAGATTGATCCTTATAGTTCAAAATATTTTTTGTCTAGGTAAAGTTACTAGTTTTAAAAGTGTAAGGTATTTTAAACGGTGTCTCACACATAAAACTGTAAGGATGATCCTTTTCCACAGTGATGATATCTGGGAGTGGCGTAACTATGGGACAAGTTCCACCGGAAACTACATCCATGGAGACAAGAATAGAGGATGGGAAACTCTTGTTTGAGAGGCGGTGGTAAGCAAGGCGATGTTTTGTTATGTAGTATAGTCATGATCATCTTGTGATGTGCAGGAGCCTTCCCAGGATGTTGTAGATTTGAGAAATACTTCAACCTTGTACAATACCGTATTGTGTTAGTTGAGTGGGGAATAAGATTACCATATTTATCCTAAAATTGATTCTTTATCATATTTTCTTTGTGTTTCTGAGATTTTAAGAGTTGACAAAGAATCATGGAGGCTTGGTTTAGAAAAACAATTTTGACATGAATGAATTTTTATCTAAGATCCTTTTGTTCGAGTAGAAAGACTCATTAAAACCTGTATGTACTGATGTTTTAGGAAACTTGACACTCGTTACTAAAGCTCTAACCTTCATGGGTGTGTCGTGCAATTCCATGTCTGATTGAACTCATGCCGTATGGCTTTAAAACAATAAGTCACGTTACCTTACTAGCCACACTTTGTCTTTGTATCCATTAAAAAATCCACGGTTTTCCTCAATACCTCAATTACAAACAAAGCTACTCCAATAATTAGGACCAGAAACTACTACATATTTGCAAATGTTCTTGCACCTCTATTGCAAGATATCAAGCACTACAAAACTTTCAACTTCTAGGTTTCACAGAGGACAGCCAGTCTATGTCGAGGGGAAGGATATGCCAAGGTTCCCAGCTGTAATATCTGCTATTGGAACAGAAGTGGTAGGTTTCTTTTATGTTATACTAGCTTGTAGCTTTGACTATTGATACATCCAGACATTCCATCCCCATGTTAATGTTAACATAGTCACCAGATTTTTAATCAAAATTGTAAGTATCCAAAAGTCAATGTTTGTAGTGAAAATAAAGTAGGCTTCAATACACATAAACTTTTCTTTAAAGTTATACAATGCAAATGGTCCAGATTAAAATTGTTAAATAAACACATATTGCTTTTTGAAAAAGCGGTCCAAACCCATTAAAGTTTTGTAGATGTGCCGGGAATTGAACCCGTCCCTCCCGCACCGAAGTCTGGAACGCTAACCACTAGGCTAGACTGGGACGATGGCGTCGTTCTGTAATCCAGCTACTGGTCACGATTTGTGGATATTTATAGGCATGCACTGTGGATGCGATACTCCCTGGTGTGGATTAAGTCCGCACTAGTGAGTACTACGATTATCCGCAGTACTAACCTGATAATTAGACCAATTCGTTAATTACAAGGCAAAAATGTGGTTTGGATTTTTACTATAAACTGTGGGTCCCTTAGTTGCCATTGGCTGTATGGGCTATTAATTAACAGCTGTGTCTAAGGAATACAGCCTTATTCACTAACAAGACTAAAAGATCGCGCCACTCATCCTACACTCATCTCCATTCATACTTGGCTTAAAATACCTACATTAGTATGGTCGCCATTTCATAAGAAAGTATTAAACACACCCAACCAATCGGACTACTCTACATAGATTATTAAAATTCATCCTACACTCATCATCAGGGAAGGATATAGTTAGTTGTCTTACCAGTCATGACATGGTTTGAGCGTCATAAATTGTAATAGCGGTGTTGTACGTACTTGGATTAAAAGCTCCTGGGGCAAGAGGTTTTATGTTAGTTGGGGTCGCAAGGATGAGAAACATTCCTGCAAGTTAAGGGGTTGGAATGCTTTTTTTCTTTATACATGTAAACTGCGGCCCAGTATATTTGTTTGTTGTCATTGCAAAGTTACACGCCTCTACTTTTATCATAGTTATGTAAAGTAGTGGTTTGTCTAGTCATAGTCATACATAATATTTAGTAATATAGCGCTTTAGTTGTTGGATAGCAGGACTAGAATTTTGTGTAAAAAAATATTTATTTCCAGCTTTGGGTGAAGAAAACATCAGACTCTAGCAAAGTGAAGATCTACATGTCGCACCTTTCCAGTGGCAAGATGACCATCAAACGACGAGCAGCATGAGTTTGACTGATTTAGATATTGTCATTAACTTATTCATTAGGAGATAAAGCTTTGCCATACATTAACATGTTTTATACAAGAACTCTGCAAATAATTTATTTTTATATAATCCCCATCCATTTAAATAAGCATGTGCTTACCTCAATGAGATGATTGACTTGAATTGCTTCCATTAGACTTGTCAGTGATTTGGCTTCAACTAAAGTGCAGAAATGGGTTTTCATGTAGATCTTTATCATATAAGTCTTTGACTGTGACAAGTAAATTGAAGCATGGTTGGCCATTTGAATTGCAGCTTTTGTTGCAAAATGCCTACGATCTTTAAAGACTACTGTAAAACTTCTACTCTTCATATAGTTAGACACATTGGGGACTCTGAAAAGACAATTTTGGAAAGGTTAGTTTACCTTATTAATATTTTATGTACTAATGAGTTGGCTTTAAGAGTCTAGTAGTAATTTATTATTGTTTTATTGATGATGAATAATTGATTATAGTTTCCACTAGGGATGGACGAGATTGGATTTTTAGTTTGAGACGAGACGAGACGAGATTTTTTATTTCTCATAAAATTTCGAGACGAGATCGAGACGAGATTTCTCTTCTCATACACAACGGGAAATGCACGTTCAAAATTTTTACCTGATTTTGTAACATTGTTAGATGACTGTTTAAATACTAAAATAATGATAATAGGCAAGAATATTTACAATCTTTCATTAAATAACATCAGCATAACATTTTTTTATTAATCACGCCTAACTTATTAAAAATGCCTACGATTAGGATACATGGTGATATCAGTTAGGATAGAGTTCAACTTATCCTAAAATAAAATAAATCATAAAATAAAAGCAATATTAATTTTTATAAAATAGTTACTTGTTTTGACTTTTTTTATAGTAATAAAACATTCCTCACACTGCTTACACTTAACAAAACTTCTCAAATGTTATTAAAGTAATATTATTAAAATAATGAAAGTAATATTTACATTAAAAAAATTAAAGTAATATTTACATTAAAAAGAATTAATTAAATAAGAACGCCTTCGAAAAGGAAACGCAACTACAACACGCTCCTGTATTGCGGGTATTGCATTGACTTTCTGCAGGCGTTTTTAATTTTTTTTTTTTTTTCTCGTCTCGATAAAAATCTCGGCCAAAAAGTAATCTCGTCTCGTGTAACGAGATTGAAAATTTCCCGAAATTTCGAGACTTGACCATCCCTAGTTTCCACATCACGTCCTGTAGTTCAATTCAATCAAAAGTTAGTTCAATGACTCATAAAAGTGTTAACCTTGCCAACAAAGTTCTACTTCGGTAACTATTTTTTTGAGAAGGAATTTCTTTCCCAAAAGGTAATAATTATAACTAGTGTACATGTTGATTGAAATCGAGCAATTGTATAGGATATGTTTTTGATACAATAGCACCTCTCTTGCCGAGTCTCAAGAGTCGAGACTCGGCAAGAGAGATGCTTGCATCATATTATATCCTGTTCGGTGTTTTACTAGTAAGCCTACATGTATTTAATGTTCGTTTTGTGTATGTATGTGCTCGATTTTAAACTCTGACGTGACCATGTGTGTCGAAGAATCAAGATTTTAAGCTTCAAGTTCTGGATCTGATGATGGCAATATATTTGCCGAAACGTACGTAATCCTACTGGATTAACAAAACCCACAAGGCAGTCTGCAGGTACTGTAACCTTTTATTGATTAATGTACATAGGCCTACTGTAATACCATTGATGGCCTGTGAGTGTTTATCTTGTTAATTTGGTAGATGTCTTTGGTCCCTGGTGTTGGTGGTGTTCTCTGCTATGTTGGTTCGTGATCTGCTGGAAGACTGGGATATCATGAGGAACGGACCTCTAAGAGTGATTGTGGAAGAACCTCCTGTCAATGTGGGCAATTTAGACTTTCCTTCCATCACCATATGTCCCAACAACGCTATTGACCCTGACAAGATGAAAATTCTTATCAAAAGGTTTGTGTTTATAATCGGTTCTTTTAATGATTGCTCAAGAAATACAGTATTATGTCAATTCATTTTTTTATTTGGTAACATATATCAAATTGTCCAGGCTTTCTAGATTTTTTACATTGTACAAATGTAAATTGAAAGAAAAAATATTTAATTTCAACAAAATCAGTAAATGTACCCAATGTGTTTCATTTAATTGAAAAATAAATAACAGCAATTAAATTATACAGATGATCAAAATGTAAACAATTATGTTCTTCATAAGGATAACATGAGAACTTTAAAAGCCACTGGAGCAGAGCCCAAGGGACTTTTTCAAATATGTAAGGCCAGTTTGCAAATCTAAACGACACGCCTTTCCAATGAGACACCAATAGATAAAATCGGTTAAGAAATGGCAGAGAAGTTCAACCGACAAATTTCGTGTTAGCTTATTAATTATATAGAAGAAGAATGGAGCAAAACCAAACGGTTGGTATATCTGTTTCCGTGATTTCAAATAGCTGATTGTTAATTGATACACCGATGGAAAAGGCATGTTTGTAAGTTTCTTTTGACGAGGTTGTGTTTTGTGTCAGTTGCTGAGTACCATAACCCCTATCAATGAAATAAAAGAATATCAAAAAGAATCTAAGATAGCATGGCAAAAATCTGTGTGTGTTTCTAGTCAGTTAGATTTAATGCTTGTAATAACTGCAGTTTGTATGTGTTTAGTCTCAAAACAGCTTGCGTAAAACTGTAGACTGCGGTATGTGAAGTTGCCTACCAGCTTTATCTGTCGAGGTTTTCGGACTCCACTTAGCTATTCTCTCCACAGCGTCTGGCAGAGTCTGAGGACGGCCCGAACTCTTCCTGGCACACAAACATCCAGTTGTCTTTAAATGCCTCATCCAACGAGCTATTCAGTACCGATGAGGACCCTCCTTCCTAAATTTGGTTCGAAAGTTCCACTGAACGAACACTAATAATAGCATTAGTACAAGCAAATTCTAAAACATAAAATGCTTTTTCTTCTTTTGTAGTAGCCATTTGTTGGCAGGCTTTGTGTTAGTCAACTAAGCAACTGAGACATAACATAACCTTGTCAAAACAAACTTATAAACATTGTCTTTCCAATCAGCTGTTTGAAATCACGTTTTGTTTTGCACCATTCTTTTTTAATAACCCTGTATATAAATAAAAGGTTGCTGGTTCAATCCTGAGTAAAGTCTGTAGCTTTTTGATGGTTCAAAACAGGAACCAGCTGATCCTGATCATTGAGCTTTAAATAAATTATCATTGCTGATCTTAGTCAGTCCAAAGCTACACAGATCATCTCACACCATTATACACTCATCCTTCACTGATAATTGGGGTAAAATACCCACGCACACCTAGGTGGCGTCCCCATCTCACTGATTGATGATTCAGAGTAATAGAGTTTTAGCGAATGAGTTGTCATTGTTTACAAGCTAGGTTTTAAGACTTCAAGACATCATCAATTCTGACAACAAGAACACTGTTGCTGTTGTCTTCAATAAATAAATGGTAAAGTTATGACTTTCAGAGTATTAGGTCCCAACATAGATGCCGAGACAACAAAAAGATTCATTGGAACTCTGACAGCGCTGACGTTGGTAATCAACCCCCAGTTTGATAAGGGATATCTTCACCTCACCAAGAAGAAAATCAAACCGTTTCCCATCAAGAGTGATGACATCATTCCATTCCTGAAAGCAGTAAGAACCACCAAATATAAACCAGGATTAACCATTTTGTTTAGAGACCGATAAACTTTACTTAGGTAGTGTAAATAAATATACCAAGTGACAACCGATCAATTTAAAGTTAAATTATTAATCTTATATTTCATATTTTCATAATAATAGGTTATTATAACATTAAATAAATAGAAGGATATTTTATGATAACTTAAACTTAGTAATTTTAATACTCCTTCAGTAGCCTACTATACTTTGTTCAGAATATTTAGGCGTTTTGATGTTGCTTGATAAGCTGTTGAGCTATTATTTTAAAGGTAAGGGTCAAGTGGAAGGGGTAGATTTCTTCAAAGATATCTACAAGTGTCAAGTACCTACCTGAAGCTGACAATGGTGTTTTAACCCCAAAACATGCCCTAACTCCTAATATGACAAAATTTTTTGAGCTGTTACGGATTTACGTAAGTAATTTAGTCTTACAATTATATCAAACAGCTCAGGGGCTACAAATATGAATTTTATTAGATTTCTCCCCTAAAACCGCCTAAATATTGTGAACGAAGTATAGGAAATTAAAACATCCTTAAAAAGACAAAAACATCCAAACACAACTTCAGTAACTGACAGAATTTTTAATTATAAGGGAATAAAATAAATCCTAAAATCAAAAGTTCACAACACATATAGGAACTAAGCACTTTCTATAATTTGCTTTATACAATTTGGCATCATTGGCATTTTAATTGTGGCGATGATCATTAAATTTGTTCTATTACACTCATGCACAAGTGGTCATGCTAAATATTTGCGATCTTAGGCCCAAAGGTTTTTTCACAGTTTATTTTCAATTAATTGAGGTAGTCTTGCCAGGCAAAGTAGATACATTTCAGATTTCAGCCAAAAGCAAAAGTACTATATAGTAAAAGTCAGTCAAACTAAAAGTTTTAAAAGAAATGTTCCATTTTTATAGAGCGGAGCGAAACAAAGCTCTGGGATCAACTTCTTTCCAAACTTTCTAACACATTAACTCAATAACGGCTTAACATATTTTAGCCAAACTTACCAAGGTTGTTTTGTCAAATGTTTAGACAAAACCAATTTCAGTTGTTGATAATGCCATATAATTTAAAAGTAACTCAAAGTTTAAATTTTAACGTTAGGCTTTAGCCTTATGGGTTGCCATGATGGTTATAAAATAACGACGTAAATTTAAACAAAACTAATAACCATAACATTTGTTAAAATCAAGCCACGACCTTAACACAGTACAAAAGGAAAAAATTTTAACAATGACCACTGATCAAATAATACAGAGAAAGTCTTTAAGTTTACATTTAAGTCACAATTTGGAAATGTCCAGTGATCAAATAGGTACAGTAATTAAAAAATTTTCTTTACGTAGCTAAATAAGGTTACGACAAATAACATTTATCTTATGTTATTGGGAATTAAAACAACTACATAATTCTGCAGTTTTATTATAGATGTTAATAGTTCTAAGCGAAACTGATAAGTTAAATTGTTCAAATAGTTGTATTTTGTATTACATCTATAAACATTTGATTATTTATTGCTTTATTAAAAACTATGAAACTTGATCGCTCCGCTCCACTGGCTTTCACTTTCACTGCTGTGAAAGCAATCCTAGTATTAAAAATATAATAAAATCAGTTTTATCATGTTTTAAAAGATGTTACATCTTTTAATGTTCACAAACCTTCAAATCTATACAGATTTGTTTAGAATCTTGTCAATGAAATTGCATAAAATGGGAGCATATATTGTGTTTAGTATTCTATGGTTTATTTTATTTTAGTCTGTCTCCAACACATGTTTTTGGGTTTTTCAATTTTACTACATGTGATTATTGTTTTGATAATATTAATGTTGTTCAAAATGGTCAAGAAATACATCACAGTTTTTTCCTAATTCATTTTGCATTTATTTGTTGGTGATTTTCTCTATAGATTATGTAATTGTATTTTAAAGTTATATAAAGGACTTTCTCATTCTTTGACAATATTAACCTCAAGACTAAATTCAAGATTGGTAAGATATAATTAATTATTCATGGTAATCTCTATTCAGTTCCATTACATCAAGCATAAAACTATTCTCTCCACTTTAAATTCCCTAATAATTTCATTGGTCCTTCGAACATCGGATGAAAGAATCAAGAATATGGATATTCAAAATTACTAATATTGTACATTATTATTTGTTATTTCATCAAGATATTTAAAATTCAATCTTAAAAATCTACTAATGTACTCTGAAAAATTGGAATGTTTGACTCTGTTGCTTTAGTAACAATATTACTACCCCTTTCTATCTTTGCCTTTACAACCACATTTTTCCAATCAGCTCATTAGTACATTCCTTTAATATACAAAATGAAGTATCAAACCTTTGTCAGATTTTCTAACCTAATCAAAGTTCGTCTCAATAATATTCTTTCATCTATTGACACTATATCAGAAAATGATCATGTTGAATTAGTTGATCAACAAAAAGTTAATTCCTATAAAAGTGAAGTCAATGAAAAGCGTTGTGAATTTAATGAACACATTAGAAAATTACTGGACGTGCCGAATCTGCCTGGTGACTATGATGAACAAGATCTAATTGATCGACAGGAGGAAATAAATGAACTTTGTATCAGCATAGAAAGTAAAATAAATTCTTATCTTTTGGAAAGTAAAGGCAATGATGGCAATCAATCTATTACCTCTCATCTCAATGAACGGGAACACTCTAACATGTCTGTGGTGCGCTTACCGAAAATAGAATTAAAAAACTTTAATGGTGACTCTCAAACTTGGATAGCCTTCATCAACCTCTTTGATACCACAATTCATTCAAATTCATCTCTCTCGAATGTGGCTAAATTTCAATATCTACTTAGTACTTTATCTGGTGAAGCACTCAATCTGGTCAAATCCCTACCCATCTCTGAAGCAAACTGCACCATCGCGTACAACATGTTGCGAGATCGTTACCACTCAGTGCGAAGGCTTTCATCTCTTCACATCAATAAAATCATTGATTTGCCCAGTGTTAGTTTTTCCTCTACTAAGGATCTCAGAAACTTGCTAAACTCTTTTAATGAAAATTCTCAAGCTCTAACAGCATTAGGCTGTGATGTAGTGGAAAACAATCCTCTCTTAGCATCAATGCTATTACGAAAACTAGACTCAAAATTGTTAAATAAATATGAATCTTCAAGAAATGACTCTGAATCTCTACCCTCAGTCAATGAGGTAATAACTTTTCTGTCAAATCATTGTGCACATGCTGAAGATGTGTCCATGCACTCACCCAATAGTAGTAAATGGCTCAAACCTCACTCAAATATCCCACCTTTGCCCAACTTCAACCGCAAAAATGAAATGACTCATCCCAGACCATTTACCCTTGCATCAACACAAAGCTCCACTGATTTCCCTTGCTTCGTTTGCTCTAAACCTGGACACAAAGTATATTCCTGTACTTTATTCAAAGAAAAATCTCCTCAAGAAAGGTATGAACTAATCAAATCCAAGCAACGTTGTTTCTCTTGTCTTGGAAATCACAAAGTCAGTATCTGCAAATCGAAAAACTCTTGTTTTAAATGTCATAAAAATCACCACACCCTGTTACATTTAGAACCATCGAAAGACCTCACATCAAGAAATGCTGTATCATGTTCATCTTCATCTCAAAGTCAAAATGAATTTGCTGGAGTATCAACAAATTTTTCTCGACCTCAAAAGAACACCACTGTTTTATTAGCAACTGTATTGGTAAAGTTGGTGTCTAGGCAAGGTGTTGCTCATGTCTTCAGAGCTCTAATCAACTCGTGCAGTCAATGTGATTTCATAACAGAAAGAGCAGCCCAACTGTTGGGAATTAAACGTCAAAAGTCAACTCTTCGTGTTAATGGAATCAATCAGTCTCTTACATCCCCAAAGGGAATGGGCTATGTGGACATCGAAACACTAAGTGGGAACAAAGTTTCAGAAAATCATCCAATGTTGATTTTGGATAAGATTACCTCGGACATGCCAAGATCTCCTCTTGATCCAAATTTATTGGAAATAGTGAAACCGTATACCCTAGCTGACCCTACTTTCCACCGCCCTGGGCCTGTTGACGTTTTACTAGGTGGGGGTTTATTCCCATTCATTTTCACAGGAGAGAAACGACAACTTGGGCCTAACCTACAATTTGTAATGAACACAGTGTTTGGTTACACTCTCATGGGACATGCTCCATGTGAGAGTAATTCTAAATATAACAAAGATTCTTCTCGCCTCACAACTATGTTAAATGTCTCTGAATTTGATCTTCATTCCTCTTTACAACGGTATTGGCAGCATGAAGAACCTCCCAGACAGACCGAATACAAACTTTCAAATAAAAAACATTTAGTGAAAACACAATCTAGAGAACCCTCTGGCAAATACTGCGTTAGGCTGCCATTCAAACCTAATCACCATCATCTCGGCAACTCTAGTAACAACACCAAAACAAGATTATTTATACCAGAAGAGAAATTTAAAACTCAACCTCATTACAAAGAAGCATTCCAGAAACCTCGTCTTGTAACTCATCTTTCAGAAGATCCATCAGACCTATCTACACAAACCCATGGATACTTTCTGCATAGTACACCTCATACGATGAATAAACTCAAAAGATGGCATCGATGGAGACTACCTTCATCTTGTTGTGATTCAAGACATCCTTACACGTCCATTGTGTTGGCCACTGGCTAGAATTGTTGAAACACACCCTGGTTCAGATAACATTACAAGAGTTGTGACTGTGCGTACGAAGAATGGACTTCTCACTAGACCGGCAATCAAGGTTTTCCCACTGCCTGTACTTGAAGACTAAATTTTATTACAGTTCCGCCCCTTTTGTTGCTTTAACTTTCTCTGTTTTAATTGCTGTTTCTGTACTCACTTGTTAAATTAATTCATTGAACCTGCGGTTCAAGGGGCCCGGCATGTTTAGTATTCTATGGTTTATTTTACTTTAGTCTGTCTCCAACACATGTTTTTGGGTTTTTCAATTTTACTACATGTGATTATTGTTTTGATAATATTAATGTTGTTCAAAATGGTCAAGAAATACATCACAGTTTTTTCCTAATTCATTTTGCATTTATTTGTTGGTGATTTTCTCTATAGATTATGTAATTGTATTATAAAGTTATATAAAGGACTTTCTCATTCTTCGACAATATTAACCTCAAGACTAAATTCAAGATTGGTAAGATATAATTAATTATTCATGGTAATCTCTATTCAGTTCCATTACATCAAGCATAAAACTATTCTCTCCACTTTAAATTCCCTAATAATTTCATTGTGAGGAATATGTAAAGCTATTAGAAACTGCCTACACATTTTCTATTTTATCCCAGGTAATACCATCATTGCAAGATGTGTTTGACAAGTGTTTCTGGAGAGGAACACAATTCAACTGTTCAGATCTTTTAAGAGATCAGATCACAGAACAAGGGTTTTGCTACTCCTTCAACAACTTCTTTTCTGTGAGATACAAACACGAGTAAGAATTAATATTACAACTATATTTGTTTATCTAGTGTAATTTTCAAAGTATCTGAATTCATTCAAAATCCTTTTATATTAGCTATACTATAAAAGCTACTATGTGCTTCGCAACGGGTCAAGAATACTAAAGAAAATAATGTGGGTCTCTAAATCTACTAAAAACAGTTAGACACTTACTATGGATTGTCCTTATACAGGAAGATCTCATCGTACTTATAGCTTTTAAACGTTTATATAACCACTGGCTATAAACTTATCTTGTCTTTTAAAACTATTGGTGAATATACTATCCAGTAAGATTATAAGGGGATTGTGATCAAACAATTAATTATTCTATGTAACTATTTGCACGCAAAGTATGCTGGTGAAGTTCCCTTGTTTTTTTGCTTAAAGTTCAGCTACAAACAAGTAAACAAAATAGATTCCATGCAGATCTTGCCTTGCCAGCCTCTCAAGACTGAAGTCTTCTTGAAACTACAGCACCTACTGTGTTATCATTCTATTCATGCTATGAGACATGTGATGTAAACAAGTCCATTAAATTTATCTTCCGAAAAAGATTTTCCAGCTGCAGCAAACCTGCAGACTAAGCAAATTTCCATTTGGCTATTTGGATTTTGACTAAATTATTTATTTTTGTGAAAAAACCCGACTACAAACGCTAAAAAGAATTGGAAACATTTTAATAAGTAAACTTTTTGGTGCCCAATAATTCGACTTTTCAGATGAAGTGCTTTATGGTCTTGGCCCTGTTAGATAAGATAAGTAAACTTTTGTAAATCTCCTTAAAAATAACATATTATTCATTCCCTATCTAAATAACATTAGTTTAACGAGTACATAGGTTTGCTGCTACAGGGAATGGGTTAAAGGTGTTTTCAATCAAATGTTAATAGTATAGGATCAAATAAATAAGTTTGCCCAAATTGATCGACATATGTCCATAAACAAGCAAACTACAATAGTTTATTCTCAACAAGAATAACATGGGAATTTTAATTTACAGTTTCTTTTTCTACCTAACTCTTAAGCACATAACAACGATTCAATATTAACTTGATTATTTGTTTTTTAAGCTCCACAAAATAGTTTGGAAAGAAATTGTAAAATTTTATGTTTTTAGGGTCAAAAATTATAAAAACCAATTTTTACCCTATACAATCGTTGGCTCAGTTCAACCATATAAAACACACTGTGTACTCCCTTGGTAAATTTCCCATCCTTATGGAACAGCTGAAGCCAATTTTATCGTTAGTTCTGTCCAGTGTACTGTATATGTCGTGTTTTGTTTACAATTTGCTTCTTGTTATTTCAGTCATTTAAAACCCCGTTTAACCAAATAAAATGATATAATCATAAATAATAACGCATCTTCTAGTTATATAACCAAACAGTAAAGCACACATGATGAAATTAATTCTAAAATAATAGAACAAAATTTCATTGACACTAGTCCCGTCCCCCTAGTCCGCCACCAGTGTCACCAGACATGAATAGACACGAGCTTCACATGAAAAACGACATGAAAAACGAGCTTCAATATTTACAATGGGATGGGAAGTCTACCTGTGTGGGTTAGTCTATGGTTCAATATGTTAGTTTTTATTAAAAACCGGTGAAAATTTAAATACCCCCGCCGCAGCAAACCTGCAGACTAAGCGAATTTCCATTTGCCTGATTGGATTTACACTAAAATGTCTCCTTAAAAATATCACATTTATCCCTATTTAAATAGAATCAGTTTAACACATACTTAGGTTTGCTGCAACAGGGAGGGTAAAAGTGTTTTTTTATGTAAAATGTTAATTGTTAGTAAGAAATAAAAACATGTTCCAAATTTGGGCAAAATATGTTAATAAACAAGCAAACTACAACAGTTTACTTATTCTCCATAAGAATAATATGGGAATTTTAAATTTGCAATTTTTTGGAATTTTCTCCGTAACCATTAGGCGCATTATAACGCTTCAATATACTAAATTATTTGTTTTTTTAAGCTCTACAAAATAGTTTAGAAAGAAATTGCAAAATTTGATGTTTTTCGGGTCAAAAATGGGAAAAACCCATTTTTACCCCATAAAACCCCCCATAAACCCCATGGTCTGATCATGCTGGTTCGCGAACTCGTTCGAATAAACGTAGGTTTACACGTTTGTACCAAATTTAATCAAAATCGGATCATTTTTGCTCGAGTTATCGCGCTAACGGAGACATATATATATATATATATATATATATGAATTTGAACGGATGGTGTTTTTGGCCTCTAGGGACCTCAAAACGAAAAAAAAAATCGGTCCCGGGTCCAGGTCTTACCATGAGTACTACGGTAATAGCTTATTCCCTATATGGGAAATTCGCTAAAATGGAGTGGATTGTCTAGTTCTATAAAAAATAGTAAAAGACATTAAACTTCATCTGTCGTGATATTGAAAACAGAACAACTTAAAATGTTTTTGTTAATATTACTATCATACAATCCAACTCAATTTACTTGAACTGCTCTTTTAAATATTGTTAATTGTGCCTTTCAGCTCGGAGAAATTACCTCCTTACTTGGATGGAAAAAGCAACTTTTTTGGTCTGAGAACCGATTCTCATGGAAGATCTAATGGCTTGGAATTACTTTTAAACCCAAAAGCCAATATGTCCAGGAATGAAATCATGTTTACTGTAAGTTAAGTAATTAATTATTTTTTTTTTACAGAAATAAGAGATTGCATATTTATTGGGATGTGAAGTTTCCAAGTTTAAATTTTGAGGACATAAAAACAGATTTCATCCATCTCGAATCAAAAGTAAATTAAACCAATAAATAATAATACTCATCAGAAGAAGAACCCTTACTGTTACGGATATAATGTTGATTTAGAAAACAATTAATATAATGTGAACCATACAAAAATTATGAAACTAAAATTACTAAAATATGGCTCATTCTATGAAAAAATGTCTAGAACACTTTTAATTGTAAAATGGGGTAGAATAATGCTAAGCTAGTCAGGTTTGTCTCGTTGTAAAACTAAAAATCATGATATTTCAGCTAATTTTATTCGATCCTTTTGAGCTTGGTACCGTTTGATAGGGAAATCAAAATGCCAAATAAAAGTGTTCTTGACATTTTTTCATAAGATCAACCGTATTTTAATAATCTAAGATTAAACATTTTAAATGTGCGCCATTTTGTTAATTTAAATGAAAATTGCATAACTTTTTTAAATTGCCTCTTGCCACAATAAATGTGTATATGCAAAGTTTGGTTTCCGTAGCTTGAATAATTCTTGAGATTTAAATTGTTTTATAAAAAATACAAAATGGTGGCTGAACAAAATTTTGTTCGACCTATATGAACTTTTTTGTTTAGATTTATTATTACTATCAGCTCCTGAACACCCCTTTTTGAACACCCTAATTTGTCTCTATTAGATACATTTTGAATATTGTCAGGCGGTTCTCAACAGCCCGCGTATCATTCCACCCACCAACAGCATGAGGCCCATCCGTCCTCGGCCCACCATGGTCTACAGGGTGCAAGTGGAGATAGAAGTGAACAATGTGGACAAGTCACTGCAGGTACCAATAAAATATTATTCTAGGTAAAGTATTCTAGGTTCATTTGTAGTTTCCACCAAAAAATAAAGTCATAATCTATCTAGATATTTTGCGTGACTATAATGTTTGATGTAAAGTATTAAACTTACACTGGTAGTTTAAAGCATACTTAATCCTGTGCCACTGTTATTTTGCTAATATTTGTGCATAAAGTACTCAGCAAAATCTTTAAATCAAAATCATTAGTAGTATTCATATAAACGGTATCAGCAATCTGACAATACTTTCTCCCATTAGCTTGCCAACAACCCTTATGGGCAAGCGTTGGTGAAAGTAACGCATTTTACGGGTAAAATCACAAAAGTTGCAATAACTCTTGAGCGGTAATTTTGACAGCAATGGGGTTGTAAAAATTCCATGTTTTAAGGATAGGCCGACAGATTTGAAAAAACCAATCGACCAATACTATCTTGTTGGTTCCCGAAATCATAAGTTTATACTGCCCTACACCTTCAAGCCACCTTCAATAGTGATCATGTAACCTGATAATTTTTTGCTAGTCATGCTTCTGCAACTGTTTCTTATCCAAGTCCAAACCAAGACATTTTGCATCCGATCCATGATATTTTGAATTAAAAGAAAAGTATAATATAATACTATTTTAATTATGATAGGAAATGAACCCAGCATCCCTTCCATGCAATCTTCACTCCAACGAGCCTATGGAGAACTGTCTGTTCCGGTGTCGCCATCATCATATCTTCCAACACTGCAACTGTGTGCTCTACACTCATGCTGTGCTCTACTGCAACGGTAAACAATACACAGACAACACTTACACTAGCATGGATTACTGCATTCGACCGTACTGTTGAAAACTTTATAGCTTTAGCTTTAAAAAATATTCTAATAGAAACTAACGGTTCAAAGGAAATCTGTAAACAGACTTTATGTTGTGTTTATTCCTTGTTGAACAATAATTTAGGCTGTTAAGGTATGTTGTTACATACAAAACATTAAAACAATACCAATAATACCAAACAAGATAATATCTATAGTATATCAACCACATGTTTCATAATAATTATTCTATATCCCATGTTGACAATAAGGAAATATGTATCATATGTTAATGAAATTTGTGTTAAATAAGTCATCAACAACATTACACATTATTTATCAATCAATTATATATTGTAAAACTAGCTGTACCCGCGGGCTTTGCCCCGTTTAACTTCTTAATTTTCAAGATGATCTCGTTCGCATGGCTCAATCACGTCCTGGTTGAAGTTTGTTCGCTACGCTCACTCACCTTTAGGTTGGAGCTCGTTCGCTGCGCTCACTTGCCTTCAGGTTAGCTCGTTCGCTACGCTAACTCATCTCCAGGTTGAAGTTCGTTCGCTACGCTCACTCACCTTTTGGTTGCAAATTAGCTGTTGTCATTAATTAAAATAAATAATAGCGCTGCACCCTGTTGGTAATCATTGTAACTTTAATGCAATTGAACATCATAGAACAGAACCAACTTGTTTAATTGAAACAGCTGTTAAGATTCATTAATTCCTTTTAAATATGAAAAATCATAAGGCTAACATGGGAAACTCCAGAGCCACTGGGGCGGAGCCCGAGAGTCCGATCAGAATAAAAACAACTTAGTTTTCCTATTTAATGCCTAAAGAATCAATGTACCAAATTTCAGCCTCCTAGGTAAATGGGAAGTGGGAGAATTAGTGATGAGTGTGTCAGTGAGTCAGTGAGGGCTTTGCCTTTTATAAGTATAGATACATCTTTTCAAATGAAGCAACCTTTTTTCAATGATCAAACTCAACAAAATGCGTGCACACACAAGGCCACGACAATACCCTGCCACAGAAACCCAGAGTTGACTAAGGGTATTTCCAGCTCCAGATGCTTCATTACCTAAGTGCTTGAATAAAGAGGATCGCAACAAAAGTAAATTTTAACTTTAAATTTATACCCTGTAGGCTACTTATTATTGGTTCTGATTGTTAGTTTGCTGCTAACAATCTGTTTCTCTGGTCAGATGAGGCTAGTGTGCAAACTCGTTGAAATATGTTGGTACACATATTTCAACCAAATTTCATCTTTAACATTTTATATTCTGTTTTTTTTTTTTTTTTAGAGAGTGTCGCCATATGTGGGGTTTCTCATTTGAAATGCATTTTTGACATTGCTGGTGAGTAGCCTAATAAATAATTAAAAACATAGGTATTCACAAAACTAGTTACCAGGAAAACTAAGGTCAAAACTAAGATTAGGTTTGCAAACTAAGGTCTAACAAACTAAAGAAATATTAGCTGCATGTAATATACAATAAAAACTTAAAATATTCAAAAGAACTTTGGGTAGAAACACACATACAGCGACTGGGAGCGGAGCGGCACGATTTAGAGCGATAAAATCAATCCCATACAATCAAGTCGTAAAGCGCACACAGACAGCTGTTGTGAGCGTAGCGGAGCGGAGCGGTTAACTTTGGAACAATCTCGTTTGTTTTTCTAGGGTTTGGGGCAACGATCTAGTGGACATTTTAAGTTCCACTTTCCCCAGTAGGACGCTCTGTACGCATTTTCTACTGGAAACGGAACTTACCCAGAGCGTTTTGGAACCTTCTTTTTTTTAAAGAATGTATTCAAAGGTCAAGGTAAAAATGTATCGCCTGAATCGCGATTAATGCATCTTAAGAACTGGAAACAAATGGTAATATTCACCATGTACCTCCCTTCCTCCATTCACTCCATGCAACCACTCCGATCGGTTTGAAACACGCAAGATAAATGTTTTTAGCCTTGTGTTTTCGCTGTGCTGCAAATTGCGTGCAAACTTACTATGTGATATCTTGGAAATGATCGAGCTCACGTTTGTGTCGTGTCGCTGCATGTGTGCGACGTCAGTCGCGCCGCTACAGCTCGCTCTGGATTGCCCCCTCCGCTCTGGTCTGAATCGCTGTATGTGTGTTTCTACCCTTAGTGTTATTACTGTACCCATAGTCATTGTTTTCATGATGTTAAATATTTGTTCAAAATATTCAAACACAAATAAGATGTTTCATCAAACATAAACAGACAGAAGAAAATGTTCTCTTCTTTTTGTAGAAAAGACTGAAGAAGATTTAATTTTAGGACTGTAACTAACAAACAACAAATACAATAAGTGTGTCCAGAAATTTATCATACAGTAGCCTACATGCTATAATTAACATGATTTAAACAAAACCACAGCATTTACTCAAATCAGGTTACAGTTACAGTAATTGGTTTTCAAGTTTAACTTATCTCTTGTTTAAGGGAGTTTGAACTATATTCGCTTAGATTTACCCCCCGGAGTTCCCACATTTAATGACTCCATGGGCATGGAGTGCAACTGTAAACCTACCTGTTCTGATGTGACATACCTTGCCACCTTCCAGACCACACCAAGGTAACTTGGCAGGTTTCCTGTAATTAAGACAAAATACAACTTTTACTATAAATCTACTAAAATGAACGGTAATAGACTAAACACTGCTTCCTTAAATCGCCCTAAGAATTGGAATGATCATGATTTTCTACAAATAAGTGTGAATACATCTGATTTTATCAACATGCCTTTACCCAAGCTAGCAAAATAAAGGTCAGGTAAGGTTTCAGTTTCATGACTGAAAGACAATCCAGGGTTTTCCTCTATTTTGTCATACAATATCTGAGCGATTTGGTTTTTACTTGTTAAAGATTTGTATAGTAGTTAAAAAAACGATTCAAAAGTAATTGTACAACTGATTTGATGCAAGTTGCTGATTGATTCTGGCAGATTTTCTCTTTAGATAATTTTGTTCTCTGTAATCTATTGGATTTATGTTTTGTTATTTGTCATTGGCAGCACAGATTGAACAACTTAGTTCAGTACTTTGATAAAAATGTTTAGATTATTGATCGCCATTACTATTACTGTATATATTTTAACACAAACTCAGAACTTGAAATGAAATCCTTTTATTGATTTATATTACGTACACCCAAATACAAATTTATGTCATTTTAAAAACACTAGCGCTCTATAGCTACCCAACACAAAAAGTGTTTTATAAGTTTGTCCAATGTTATAAAATTTAAAACACAATGTTTTAAAGTGAGGCTTTTTCTTGCAGGGAGACTGATGTTGCTGCAATGAACTATTCTGCATACATCGATGTATATTATTTTTCCAACTTTGCAATGGGATACTTGAAGAGAACCAAATTGACAGAAGTGGATGTGATTGGTAATTTACTGAATAAAAATTGTTGTATGATATTGATTTAACACAAATAGAGAAAAATATTTATGTACAGTAAGTTCACTAATATAGGAAAACTAGATGTTGCCTGTTGGCTTCGCCTGACAAACTTTAGAGTTTTATTATGAACCGGCTGATGTTATGTGACTTCACTATGGGCTAACATGGCCTTTTACATTATTATTCCGTATAGCAACAGTTATTAAGGATTAAGTACATCTTATATAGCCTAATCACGGAAGCTAATTAGACATGGGACTACTGAAGTCATACTAAGGGTGTTATTCGGTCTAGTTGCTGTACCCATGCTTTCGCCCTACAACAGGTAAAAAAATAATAGTGGTGCAATCTGTTGGTAAACCTTGTTACTTGTTAATGCTGTTGAACATCATAGACCTTGTCGTTGGTTTATTTGAAACATCTGTTAATAATATTCTTTAATTTTTTTTTTAATAGTATTTCGAAATCCCTGACATGATTACCTTTAAGATGGTCCCAGGGGGGCTAAGCCCTGAAAGTTATCACAAAATTAATGATGTATAAACCTATTTCATGAAATTTTACATATGTATGTACCAAATTCATGGTCATCGGTCCAGCGGCGTCTGAGTTCATCACTGCCAAATGTATTTACAAACATCCCCTTTTATGCATTCCATCCCCATGTTAAATTTGTAGCCATGCTTTTTTTATCAAAATCGTCATAGTTGATGTGAGCCACATACAGATTGCGCTGATCTAAATGACTAAATTCTACCGAATACATAATATAACCAAGTCAAGCATAGGGAATGACTTATGATGAGTTACAGCAACTGTTATGACCCATCAACCTGGTCAGCAACAAAACATAAGGTATAAAATAGAATTTTAGACACTAGTGCATTCTGTGACTGGCTCACACAACTACATTCTTTTTTAATAAAAAATTGGTTACAGCTGGTCCATATAGATGGGAAGTCTAGATAATTAAAACTATAAAGGTTGACCAAACAACTTGCAAATTTTGTAGATGTAACACTTAGGAGCAGTTTTCTTCTAATCTGGGTAGAGATATATGATTTGTCCCTTCTCAAATTAAAATTAAGAGCGTTTACGAAGTTGGTCCTGTTCTCTATAAAAAAAACTACCCTACATACAAAGAATGTGAGAAAGGAATTTTCAATTTCAAACTATCGCAAGTTTGATGCCACCACAAACAATGATGTGGTGAATCTGCTGATTTTGCTTAGCTCTTTAGAAGTAACTAGAAGTTAGAATTAAAATTATACAGTAAAGAATATTATATATTCTGTTCACATAATTTAGGGGAAGAAATTTATCCTCTCAACGTCTTGATGCTTCTACCATTCAACATAGCTCAACAGCTGAGATTTGTAAAGAAGTCAATCAGCTGCATCATACATTAAGCAGAAAAAAGGTGGTGGGGGAACTTCCCCTCAAACCGCCTACATTTTGTGAACGGAGTATGATTTTGGCTGTATAGAGAAAGGCTGGTTTCGCAGTCAAGTTTTCCACCAAAAAGTTCATTAAAGACCATATGTTTTCAAAACCTGGTCAAAACTCTCCTGTTAAACAAGTGATTTATAAACTAAACTAAATTTTAATGAGTCAGTAGGCCTATGCTCCTTTCCAGACCTTAAGACCTTGCATTTACAATGAACATGTACCTTGGACAATAGACATTGATAACATGTTTTCAGAATTTATCAAACATAAGCTAAACTTATCAAACAAAAGGAAAAAAGTGGTTTCAGTTAGTAATCAGCCAAAATAGTGAATTAAATGAACTTCAACCCCTATGAGAACAATATTTTTGTTGTAAGATGTTGGAGAGGATAATTGTAACAGACTCCTTCCTATATCCTTAATTCCAGCTGAGCAATCTTAATTTGACCAGACACAACTGCTACAGTCATTTAGCTTGACAAAAACCTCGACTTTGATTTGATAGCTTACAAAGTCTTACAACCGCCTGGTAAAAAAGCTTTAAATATAATTATAAATGTTATAGCATGATGTATATTAAACCACAGAAAAATTACCAATTAATTGTATTTATTCAATTATATTGCTTATAAACAACTGTATAAAACAAAATTATTCGGGCCATGTTAAATGTTTTTCTCAGTGGCAAGAACTTGGAATATATTTATTTCACAAGAACGAGGCAGCTGCAAAACCAAGGTGGTTGTAAAATAAACATTCCTCAGTTGTGTGATGGAATTCATTTGGTTGTTTACCTGCTAAGGAAAGTTACAAGATTGTTTGTTTCAGTGGGTCTCGGAGGCACTGGTGGCTTGTATTTGGGAGCCAGCTTCATCAGTTTTGTGGAGATTATTGTCGTGACGATGAAAATAATCATGTGGTACCTCAACCCAAATAGGTGTAAACCAAAAAGGAAAGTTAAAAATGCTAATTAATAAATAAAGGAAACTGTCATTACGGCGACTTGTAATAATGACATTCTTTCTTTCTTATTACTGTATAACCTATTTTTAATAATGTGGGGTAAAATCAGCAATATGAGGGAACATGGGTTTGTAAGACTTTCCACAAACTTTAAAAACAATTTTCAACTTTTTTAGACATACCAGTAATTTTCGTTTTGTGGTCTTTAAAGACAATAAGGATCCTACTTTTAGTATTTATTTGCAATTTCAATTTCAAGACTTCGGCTATAGTTAATTATTGGAATAAGAATGTTCAGAGTATTTTTGATTTGCTAAAAAATATACATAATGTTCAAAGCTGTGGAAGTTTATTAAATCTTTAAAACAATTTTAAAATATTAATTTGAATTTATATACATACTTTATGCTACCGCAAGAGAATGCAGTTAAGATAATGGTGATTCTTCACTGCCTCCCAATGCAGACTCCTGGATATGGACACTATCCCACATTATAAGAAAACATAGTAATTTCTCTTGATGCAATATAGAAATCTAATCAATCAAATTGTAGAATCTCGAGGAAAAGAAAATTACTGTATCGAAAAAGTGATATTTTTCAGAGAAGTTTCACATCAAGACCAATTCAAGTATGCGGTTGATAGGTGTGCGGCTTTATGGTTTTCTCAAAAGTTTGTGATCCTTGTGACCAAAAATGTGAAATGTACAGATTTAATGTTCTCTATTTTCATCCCACACTGTAAATAAAACATGTGATTAGAATTTCTTCCATTTTGTTTTGATTTCCTGTTTATATTTTGTTGTCATTTTGTCACAGGTGGTAACCCATAAGGCCCATGTTATTTTTTTAATTTTAAATTCATTTTATGTGTTTAAAAAAAAAATTCATTTAAATTCATTTTTATGTGTTTTGGGGGGGGGGGATTCTGCACATCTACAGAAAAATATCTTTCTAACAGTATGCATAGATTTTCCCTGCTATGCACACCAGCTGAAAAAAAGGATCATTAATTATCATCACATTTTAATTTTTTTTTTAAATGCCATACTGTCTTATTTTTTGTAATAACCCAAATCAAAATCAGGGGTAGCAACAAGCAGTATATTGTATAGTAACAAAATGACCTAGTTTCCAAAAATTGACCAACCTGAGAGTAAATTATTCTACTCTTATCTCCAAATAAGGAATGAAAGAAGCCACCAGGATTAGCAGGAAGTGAGGCCGTGAACTGTGTGCGAAGGTAGAGAGAGGGGATAACTACCAAGTACTCCTCACAATCCAACCGATAGTCGATAGTCGATACGATAAACATATCGATAGTAAACATTGCAACAATGGTTTCGTTCAGTCATAAAACTTGACTATAAAATAGAAATCCTCTCCGTGTAACGTTTACTATTCACACGGTATTGTTTTGAGTTAATACACTTTTTTGTCTTGTTGTAAAAAACATAATACCGACATACCTTCTCTATTTTACTAAATACTAATACTAAATACTCTAGTTTACTAGTTGAGGGAGAGGGAAAGATGAACGAAGGATTAGTGCTGAATAAAATTCAGTGCAGAGTACAGTAGATGTCAGCTTGCTACGTTGTGTTATATACTTCGATGCTTGTTACTCTCTAAGATCAGTGGTTATGTTCTTTAGCCAGGATCTTAATAAAAACCCTAATATCAAAGACAGCGTGGCCCAGTTTCAAACCATGAAACGGATTTTGACTGTTCTAAGGATTAAACCGGAAAATACACATGACAAAACTAACAAAAGTACCACTTTGGTACCACTAACGGACTTACCACAGTATGTACTATACACCTTATTGGCAAATACTGTACATTCGAACGGCGTAAACGTAACGGTGCGATATATCGTGCGAGTTGTTCGACCCGATAGTTATCGCTTTCAGGACCGGTTTTATGGTAGCATTGGCGCGGCCTGCAGTGTGCAGTAACAGATCTACTTTTACACTACGCGCTACAGTATAGTACAGTGTTACACTCTGTTAGTGTTAGTGTTGGTATCACTGGTGCGGGTGTTAGGTTAGTTGTGTGCGACTCTGTTGGTAAACACTGGTTTTGGATCCGATCAAGGTAAATGTCATTAATATCATGGAATTGAGGATTTTTTTTGTTCTTGTTGGTACAATTCCTTTCTTTAGTAATTTATCACAAAATTGTATGTGATAATGAGTCATAATGAGTTATATTATGTTTTCCAATTTAAGTTTTTAGTTTTTGATCTGTTTATTTTGTTTATTATTGTTTTTGTTTGCTTATAAGACCGACTTTGCTGTAACATTCAAATGTGTGTACTATTGTAAAAAATGTGTTTGCCGTTGTAAATAAATGAAATTAAATGACGAAGTTGTCGTTATTTTAGAGCACATTTTATTGATTCCTATCAAAATAGTAAATTTTGGTAGAAACTCCCTTTTAAATACAACAAATTTTTAAAATTACAGTTTGCGCGTTAAGGGTTGATTGATAACCATTTTATCCGCTGTTTACACTGTTATGTCCTTATCATTTGATAAGGTGTCTAGCTGAGGAATAACCACGGATATTGAAACAGAAATCTTGTTTCTAATATTCGTGGGAATAAACTGACCTAAAACTAAACGTGTCGTAGATTATCGGTAAAACACTGGACAACACTGGATGTTCAGTAGGCGATTGGCATGAAAATGGATTGAATTTACATGTTAAAATTTAAATGAAGCTCAGAATATAGGGAATATATTTTTTATTTTACAAGATTGTCAGGTAATGCATTTTTTGTATAATTGATTGGTTACTTTGATTAGTACATGTAGGCTATGCAAATTCAAGTCAAAACTAAATTTTGTATATAAAGTGTTTAAAATAGGTATCACATTTTTACTAACTAATTTTATCAAGCTTAATGACTTGTAAGTCTCTAAAATTTGTGTTAAAGAAGAAACTTACGAACTATAAAATTCAAAGACCATTATAATTCAATACAGGCACTAATTCATGAATATGCCTAACAGGAGTGTAGGCATAGCAATGCAATTACAGTATGTTTTAGACCTAGGAGGATAATATAAATCCTCCTAGACCTGGGGTGTTTATACTGTAATAGTAATGCATCTTTCTGCTGCTCACTGAACGGCCGCATCTGTTTGAACATTGCTTATATCTCGGTATAATCTCGGGACCTCACTCTACTCTCATTCCCATATTGACCTCTTCACAGTCAAAGATAACTTTCTCCATAAACAAAACATGCATAGCCTTTCTGACGTCATCACTCCAGCTGACGTTGTGCAGACCCGTTAATGACGTAGTTATATGTGTTACGTGATAGTTCTTAGCAAACCTATGTTTACGAAGTTGGGCATACATCCTTTTCAACAGAGGAGCGGTAAAGCTGCTAAATGTTGACTACGGGAATTCCGCGCACTTGTAGAGGTGTAGACTAATGCTATCAACAATCAAGTACAGTATTCGATTGTTTGTCTTTGACGAAATACTGTGAATTAAAAGTTGTAATAACTTCCTTCTTTGCTTCAGTGTGTAGTATGAAACTCGTATTTAGGTAATACAACTTTTGAATTACTGAACATGACTAAAAATGTTGGTTGGTTAAAGTAAAGAGCTGAAGTTAACAGTTCTTCTAGCTCTTCAGGGCCTGAATTTTGAATTGTGAAATGTTGGTGTGCCATAGTAGAAAACGTGTAAATACGTGTAAAATGTGTTGAAACAATGATAAAATAAAACACAATGCATTGTGCTTTCTTTGCCAACAGTATATTTTACTTTTTTGTGAGGGAACGGTACTAACCATTGTATTTGACGTTATAAAATCGACCCGTTTACTAGGTAACATAATTAATTTATAAACCAATGACAAATGACATCTGAGTGTTCGAAATTACAAAGATTGAACCAGCTATCTTCCATGCGTGCTCTATTACCACTCGTCTACATAGACAATTAATAGTGTGTTTACAATTATTTATTTTCCAGGGGAAATAAATGTACTACACCTTGTATAGATTATAGTGTTTTGGGATTTGTTATTATTTGCATGTTGTATCATTACTTGACTGCTTTACAGTGCATATTTTTTGACTGATGCCCTCTGTAGTGTATCCCAACTTAGGTTGGACGTTTGTGTATTGTTAGTTGTAATGTGTATTAGTTAATTTTTTTGACCTGAGGACGCGATCAGATTCTAGATCCCAAAAAGTTGTGTAATTTTTTTACCATAGTGATGGAAAATGTCCGCAATAAACCTTTGAACAACAAAAATAAATATAGTTCCATTTTCACCTTTTAACATGAATGCCACTGATTTAGCAACATCGCAAGCTATTAGAATTGGATACTACAATTTCATTGATTGTAATGTTTTTGGATTTGATTTTAATTATGGTGAAGGACCAGGACCAGGGTTGTATTGTAAGAAGACCGAAGGAGTATTGAATGAATGTTATAGAGGTAGTTTTGTCACTGACTAAGATCAGCTGTTTTAACCATTTAACCAACCCCATTATCAAGTAGCTGGACCCATTGTCGAAAATATACAATCTCTTCTCAAGATGGAACCGGCGATGTGTGGTGTATGAGAGGTAAGCACAGTTAACCAGTCGTGGTAGAGGTATCCATTGATGGCTAAAGTTAGCCAGAGTTATGCTGAACACCAGATGGCATGTTACGTCATCACTACTACAGGTGCCGACGACCTATATAATTATTGTTGTGTTGTGGTTTGGACAACACACGTGAGCCGGACATTACAGACGCAATCAGAAATGATGACGACGAATAAACTATTTCAGGGGATATTTCACAATGTGCTCAGATCTCACAATGGGTGAATTACATGTTGAATCTATACTTATTTAATACGCAAGCAGGTTTTTTGTGACAATTACTCTTCCGAAACTACTGAACCGATTGACATGTTTTTGGTTTCATTGGAAAGAGCGTGTGAAGTTGTGCAGGAACTTTCTTTTTAGGAAAATAATTAGAGAGTGAGGCCCTGGGGCCCTTTAAAGTTTCGTATTTCTCCATAAGATTAACATGGGAAACAAACATTGTTATGAAACTCCAGCTGTTGTGAGAAATTAAAAGTGAGAAGAATAACATTTAGGTAATTGTAAAATTGTGACAGAGAGGTTATGCAGAAAATCAGGTAGTTAATGGTTATTTGGTGCTATTAAAATAAAGACTGAAATTTGTAAACGTATTGGCGACAATGGGTGATAACATGCAGACTACATTATCATTGACAAAGACCAACATGGGCAACCTATTGCGGCTATAAGTGGGAAACATTTCTACAATACACTAAAAGCCAGATCAGCTTTTGAAAAATGATAAAATATTTACAAGAAATGTTGATTATATTGAACTGTTAAGTACATTGTGAGTATTATCATTAGTTACGTAATCTTTCAATTGACTTTTTTAAACTCGTCGGAATTTATGACTTATATTTGTTCTTAAATAAGTTATTTGTTTTTAAATATTTGTTTGCGATTGCTCGATTTCGAGCAACATGTTCACTAGTTGTAATAATTACATTACATTGAACTATTCATGTATTCACAAAAACAACACTTCGTAAAAGTATATCAACTTAGACATATATTTTCGTTCAAACAGCTTTTCTTGGCTTGGGGCTGTTAACAAATGTTCATGACTAAAGAAACGCATCTTAGTCAGTAATAAAGCAATGCAAATAACCTCTATTACGTGTTAATTTTGCATTATTCTTCAGTTTGAAATACACATTTACCTTGTGGTGTGATAATCAAATATATGCATTAGTGATCCCAGTTCTTATTTTCACCTGCCTTACACAACATACAGTTCAGACTTTCAGTTAGAGTATTTAATAAAAAAAACACCATAAACTCACAGAAAAAGTAGTTTTAAGCGTTCCTTCGATACACCTTAAAAGAACGTTTGAAGTTTTAAAGCAGTAATTCTAAACAATAGGGTATAATTTTCTATTGGCATGAACAAACGAGTGTGTTTAGTTAACTAGTTCTATTTTAACTCTCAAGCTAGTGTGTTATTTCTGTACGGAAAATAAATAGATTCATTCGGTTTTTTTACTCTATGTTTTTAATTTTTACCATAGTATCCAAACGTGCATTATAAAATAGTTCCGGGGTACCGAGCCATGGCTTGGTACGTTTATTTCGATTGTAAAAGCAATACTGTATAGAGGAAACTCGCTTTTTCTTATAACTAATTTCGGCTTTTATTATTCAAGATTCAATGGAATTTATATGATGGAAATGTTAACTCGGCAATCAAAAACATTAATTTATTAATTTATTTTTATCTTACACCTCGTAAACACATGTTAACATTCTTTTGTTTACATTTTCCTTGTTAGCGAATTTCCCTATATATGGGGAAGTAGCTATTATTTTGTTCTACCAACAACCAATAAGGCCAATGTTAAATTTCTAAATTTTCAAATGAGTTGTGTTGTGAAATGTGAATTTTCCTGAAATAGGAGCTATCACCAATCAACCTTTTTAGGGCTACAAGTCCCTAATTCCAAATTTAGTCGAAATCCTTCTGCTGGATTTCGAGATATATGGCATTGAAAGTAGATAGGGTCTACTTAACTATTACAAGTAGGTGTAGCTTTAAATAAAAATTGCAAGCTATTTTCGACCACGAGGGCAGCAAATAAAACATGTTTGATTTAGTGGCAAAAACGGGAACTTATTAAAATGTTCGATTCAGTGTAATAGATTTTTATTTTTACCTGGTGTAACAGATCCCTACTATAAAGTGTTCAGCAAATCAGTACAAAATATCCTACTTTTATTTTGATACAAACCGAAAACCTTATATTTCTTGTCAACAATAAAAAGTAAACAGAAATCCGCGGGAAATTCAAATGTAATTAAATGTATCGTCAAGTTATATTCTAATATTTTATCTTAGAATATTTGGGATTTGCGCATGCAAAGTACAAACGTGTCGCTCAATATTGTAGAGTATTCCAGCATGTGTACAAACAACTGCAAGACTTACCGCAGCCAATAAAACTGCCTATTTATACGCAAAGCTATGACTGACGCTAGGGTTTGGTCAGA